GGCTGGCCCCCAGTGCCTCATTTTTATGTGACTGTGACCCTGAACCAATCCTTTTAGTGGTAGTTGTGGGAATGTTGTTAGCTTTTCCAAGAATTTAGATAGGCTTTTGTTTTTATTGTTGGTCATTATTATAAGAATTTCAGTGAATAGAAAGATCTCATGGGCAAAATCAATTTGCTTTTTTCCCCTGTATTTTTGTTAGTTTATAGCAGCTTTTCTTTTCCTTTTATTTTTAAAAGTAGAAATGCCTTTCATCACACTAGGTGTACTCCTTATTCGTGGAAGTCAGGCAGGAAAGAGCTTCTCTTCCTTTCTCCCATAGCTCGGTAATTGGAAATTTGGTAACTGTACTAAATTTTACATTTTGGCATTCATGTGGAGCAGCCATCCATCTGCTGGCGAGACACACTGCCCCAGGCTTTTCAAGAAATCCCTTAATAGTCCTGAACACTAATAATATTTATATACATTGAGATGAGGCAAAATTTACAGCAGGCTTCTGGGGCTGGCTCCAGGACTCTCTAATCCTGAACTTCCACGTGTTGTCTGCCTGCCTCCCAGAATCCTCTCCGATTGTGCCGCAGCCAGGGCAACACCGGCTTCCATCCCTTGAGCGGCCTCTTATTTATGGAATTTGTCTTCTAGCAGCAAGTCACCTCTCCTTTCTCCCCCTCTCCCCATCACACTCCCTGTTTATTCCCCCAGAGTATTTGCTATGTGTTTGTGCAGTTTGTATCATGTAACATAAAGAAATCCCTTAATTCGTGATTGCTTTAGGAGGAGTTGTTCTGTCTATAAAGAACATAATTTTAGGGGCTGGCTCCATGGCCGAGTGGTTAAGTTCACGTGCTCCGCTGCAGTGGCACAGGGTTTGGATCCTGGGTGTGGACATGACACCGCTCATCAGGCCACGTTGAGGCGGTGTCCCACATCCCACAACTGGAAGGACCTGCAACTAAGATATACAACTATGTACGGGGGTTTGGGAAGATAAAGCAGAAAAAAAAAAAAAGATTGGCAACAGTTGTTAGCTCAGGTGCCAATCTTTTTTTAAAAAAAAAAAGAACATAATTTTACCTAATTTAAGCTTTACTGAAATTCTTCCCATCACTGAAGTAGCTCCCATCACTGAAACAAAACCCTAATTCCCCAGCCTGTGTGCTACTTGTGGCAAGAACTGACTGACTATGCACTTCCTTGTAACACATCCCTTGGCAGGGCAGGGGGCAGGGGGAAGGTCTCAATGGGCTGCTACCCAGAGATGTTGTTTCCAGTGGAATGGGAGATGGAACACAAACTATATCTACAGATACTTTGTCAGGTATTTATTTTTTTCTTTCTCATACTGGAAATGCCCAACATTTGCGTTTGGGTATAACTGATTCCAAGCTAGCACATGGGGACATTTTTCTGTTCTTTTAAATGCTAAGTTTTTAGTATTACATTAATAGCTATTTGATATTAATGTCTGATACTTGTCATTTTATATAGCATTTAATTTAAATTGTAAGTGATGAAAAGGGAGTTTTGCAAGTAAATATTGGTCCCAGTTAGTCTCTGATGATGATTGTAAGGTTCTTAATCAGTTTTCCCCTCCTCCAATCACAAAGCATGGCGGTGAAGAGCAGCCCCCAGGGACTCAGTGCTCTGAGTGGGACGTATGCTTAATACAGCTGGTTTGTGCTGACGAGCAGGACTGTGCACATGCTTTCTGCAGCCAGTTTCATTTTAACCACATGAACCTCATGGATCTATTATAGCATATAAACTTTGTAGGGACAACATAACAAGCCTGCGTGTCTCTTCTCCTCTTGCCTGATCCCTCTTATTTCAGCTCTGCCCTCTCTGGTCATCACACCCTTTGTGCTGCTGCCAGATTACCTTTCTAATATGAAAATCTGACCATGTTGCTCCCCTGCCTGAAACTTTCAGTGATGCCCATGGTCCACCAATTGGTGTAAACACCTCAGACAGGCCTTTGGTGCTTCCCTGAGCTAGCCCCCCTCTCTGTCCCAGCATCATCTGTGACTGGTCCCTGGCCTTCTTCACAGACACCCAGTCCTCCCTCCACAGTGACTCAATTGCTTCCACATGCGTTGACATGTGATTCCACCTGTGTTATTCTCTATTCCTATCCTCTTTGTCTTTTGTCTTTCAGCTCCAGCCTCAACACCACACCTCGGCTAGGCCTTCCCTGGCACCCAGGGCCCAGGGCACACCAAGCGCCTCCATTCACTCTCACACTTGCCTCTGGTATATCATCCGTTCCTTGAGGACAGGGTCTGGCACATGGGTGTAGCACGCACACAATAAATAGTTGCTAAGTGGATAAATAACTGAAGGATAGATGGACTTAGGTTCTCTTGTTATTAGTTTAAAAACCTGAACTAGGGAGATGCAATTTCGTTGTTTCTTTAGATCTTGAGCCTTGAAGTTACCTCCATAATGGATATATTTGAAATTAGTCATTTAATCTATTCGATTATTAGATGTCTTTGAGTGTGAGATTTGAGGGTAGAGTGTATGTGTGCATGTGTCTGTGTGCATTTACCACAAATATCCTAGGCCTGTCAATCCAAATCAGTGTTATCTTCTTAAAGATAATCACCTTAGTAGACAATATATGTATCTCCACACTTTAGGAGCTCCTACAACATATACTTTTTGGTGTGATTGGAGATAGTTAGTCTTTGTTATTTCTTGGGTAGATTGGTTTCAGAAATAGCCAGAAGTTATTGAGAGACAATTCTGGTTAACAAAAATGAGATAAACCAACAGGAATAATTTTCTTCTTGGCTTACAGATAGCTCTAAAGGTGTGTCTTATGTGGGATTAGTTCTATTGCATAAAACAAATAGCAGCACTTAAACAAAATGAAAATTTATTTCTCTCTCAAGAAGTCTAGATGTAAGCAGCCCAGGGTTAGCCTACTGGCTATATCGTCATGAGGGACCAAGTACCTTCCTCTTGCTCCATGATTCTTAATGGGCCACCTCGTGGTCCAACATGGCTGCTTGAGCTTCTTGCATTACTCCTGCACTCCAGCCAGCAAGGAGGAGAAAGAGCACGCCCCCTCTGATTCAAGGAATCTTCTAAGAAGTTGCACCCAAAAAAGTTTTCTTTTGTCTCACTGGGTAAAACTTAGTCACTTCTAGCTACGAGAGAGGCTGGGAGACATAGGATCTAGCTGGATGGCAAAATGCCCAGTTAAAAATCAAGTTCTAATACCAAAAACGTAAGAAGAATAAATAGTGGAAGGCAACCTATTGTCTCTGTCACAGGATGATTTCAAATGAGAAAACTGCAAAATTATTTTAAGCTTAACAGTATCACGAGAATTTGCTTTCTTCATAGGTTTCAGTATTTGTTTGAATGTCCAAGTTCTGATAACCTGTTTCTAAATTCACCTGTTTGCAGTGAAATAGGAACTCTTGGACACAGCTATTTGGTGGATAAATTGGTACATACTTTCCGGAGGACAGTTTGACCCAGCAAAGTCAATTCTGGAAATTGATCCTAATGAAATAATTAAGGGCTCTCATGAAGATTGCAGTGCTGATTATAATAATAAAATGTTAGGAATAAGCAAGATGTCTAATCGTAGGAGACTGATTATAACTTACAATACACTAGACCATAGGATGCGATGCAGGTGTTAAATGACTGTGGAATTCACAGTATGTTATGCCAAAAAATGCTTTCAGAATGGCTCGACCCCTTTGCTATAGATAGTGATATGTGCATGCACATGCATAGGAAAGGATCTGGAAGGGTCCACATGAAGGTATTAATAGGCGGGTATTTGTGGGCCGCTGGACTAGATGGTCTTTATATTCCTTTTTTCTTATGTGTGATCTCTGATTTTTTTTTTTTGAGCATGTATTTTTATTATAAGGAAAAGCAATAATAGAATCTTCACTAAAAAAGGCATGCCAGAGTCAATAATATACATATTTAAATAATTTTGTGTTGTTTTCCAATTCATGGAAAAAATAGGAAACATATAATGCAAACCAGATTTCATATTTTATTGATTTATATTTTATTTGCTGGTGAGGCTGACAGCCCCATAGTGTGAGCATTACAGCATTGTTGTGGAAATAGATGCCAGCTCATCTACTTGGGATGTGAACTGTGGATCTCTGGTTTTCAGACACTGCTTTCACTCAACTTTAGCCTAGAGAGGCTCAGAGGAGATGGTTTCTAATATCCTATGGTCCTGTGGGCTCAGAGACACTGCCCACCCATCCACTTTCTTGTCTTTGAGAATAGCCATCAGATGTAGGACTTTGCAGTGATGTCATAGGTTAGGGAGCGTGAATAAGTTAATATCATTGCTTATTTGGGGTAAGACCTTTGATATGATGCAAGCAGACACAAACGTATCTAAAACCATTTTGTAAACCTGAATGGTATCATCTTGACTATATTCTGTTTTAATCATTTTTAAAATAAATGGGCATTTCTGCACACTAAGACTATTCAAGATATTTCAGTAAGGAACACATCCGAAATGGAGAATGAACAGAGCATAATGCCTTTTAAAGTAATAATACACTGTACTGTTCGCCTTGGGCTGCTACGTTGTCATGCACCTCAGGCAACTTTCTACTCTGGGTATTATTGCCCCCATTTTATAGAGGAGAAAAGAGAGGATCAAGGTCAAAGAAGCTAATGACTCATCCAAGATGGAATACCCGGTAAATAGGAGAGGCTGGACTTAAAACCCTGCTCCCCAGACTCAAAATGCAGACTCAATTTTCTCCCTGCCCTGATGAAACTCTGAATATGGTCTACAGTACTGTCATTGCAGCCCTAACGTGGGATGCAGGGCCCAGTGATTTTCCGTTTGGGGATTTCGTGTGTGATTGGTTGGTTTTTGTCAGTGGAGGGATCTGGTGTTGGTGACCAGAGAATGACCAAGAAGAATGCTGGCTAGGCCCGGAGGAGGGCGTCCAGTTCCTCGAGTCTCACGGCCTTGTCCCCTCTGCCCCCCACAGTGTGCCCGAGCGCGTGCGGGAAGCGGGCGTGCACCGAGAACAACGAGTGCTGCCACCCCGAGTGCCTGGGCAGCTGCAGCGCGCCCGACAACGACACGGCCTGCGTCGCCTGCCGCCACTACTTCTACGCCGGCGTCTGCGTGCCCACCTGCCCGCCCAACACCTATCGCTTTGAGGGCTGGCGCTGCGTGGACCGCGACTTCTGTGCCAACATCCCCAGCGCCGAGGGCAGCGACTCTGAGGGCTTCGTGATCCACGACGGCGAGTGCATGCAGGAGTGCCCCTCGGGGTTCATCCGCAACGGCAGTCAGAGGTCAGTCTCAGGGCCTGTCGCTCACGCAGGCGGCTTGGAGGGAGCAGAAAGGCGGGCTCTGCCAGTTGTTCCATCTGGGACCCCAGGGAGGTTAAGGGAGATGGGTCTTCTTGGAGGGCTGGCATAATTTTTCATGAGATTCTAGGAGCAATTGGCAGTTTTTGTTTGTTTTGGAAGTGTACTGACAGGACACTTGAAATTAAGGACTTGACTTGCTGACTCATGTACCCAGAGGTCACTGTCGCCCCTGGTGGGGGGACACCACGACAACGATGACACTATAGATTTAGGTTTCCCTCACCCCTAGTGCTACTCAGCACTAGCCCAGTGAAGGCTTTGGGATTGCAAGAGGGAAGACAAGGCAAGCCCCTGCAGCATCCTGGAGGCAGCCAGCAGGCCTAAAGAGTCTCTTAGCACAGGCCCTGTGCCTGTACTGGCCGCTGCTGAGGGTAAGCAGTAGCTTCAAGGAACCTGCATCGTCCATCAGCACCTCCTCTCTCTCACCCCCTCCACCCTCACCCTCCCTCAGTTTCCTATGTGCTCCTCGTTTTCCTTCCTAAATGTTGAGACTTTGCTTGGGAAGCAAAGAAGTTCCTTACAGCAAATGGCACCCCTCTTTGTATGCCATCTGGACTTCCATGACATTGTCATGTTTTTGAAAAAGGAGTGCTATCATCATTACAAAATATACGGCTGTAACCCTGGGAGCAAAAGAAGACTAGAGGTGTGGAGCTGCGGTTCCATCCTCTGGAGCAGAGCAGAGAACTTTTAGGAAAGAGTAGTTCAGTTGTCACAGACCAAAAGCCTCCCTCATGGTGAGGGAGGGCCAGGGGACCCTTGCATTCCTGGGTTCTTCAAACTATTCTACAAATATAAAATGCTGTTAGGAAAGTAAACATTAATTTTGAATATAATGTGTCATTTACCTGCTTTTTGCTGCAGTCTATTTCTGTAAATGGCATCAAGTAAGTCTTTATAAAGGATATTCTTTATAATATTTGAAGATGCTACTTCTATCACAGGCTTACCTTCAAATCAAAGATGAAACTCAATTTCGTAATATTAGATGTAGAACAACTTTCTGCCCATTATAATTTCTATAACCATTGTCATAGTAAAAATTACTCTAAATACTTTAAAATGATAAATGTGTCAAGGACTCCAATGGACTGTTAAGTATACGTATTCCAACCAACATAAGTCTACCACGTTTTACTCACATTTTATTGGCAGCTGTAGACCTTAAAAGGGCTTTGCCAGTGCCCTGATGTGGCTCTGCCACAGTTCCTCCTGGGGGTAGAAGGATGGGACAGCTGGTCTGTGAACTGGAGATGATACCGTCTTTGTCCTGTGGATACATTTTTCTATGATGTTGCAGGCAATGTGTTGTAGTACTGAGGGTGCAGTGCATTCAACAGTGTTATTTCTCCCCCTGCAGCGTATTCAAAGAACTGAGCCGTTATTTTTCCCTATGCAATTCTTACAGTCTGTTCAAAGCTACAGATCTGCCTTTTCCATTTTAAAATAAAATGCCATCAAGAAATAATAAATCCCTCCTCAGCCTTTAAGGCCTGTTTGACACTTACTTTAAAATATTTATTTTTTAATACTGCTTATACCCTCTCTGTATCAGAGTACACTCCAGGAAGATTAATCTATAAACTAGTAATCAGAACATTTGCTTAGAAAAACATTTTTAAAGTGCTAGATGATTCCTAGACATTTTGACAAAGGTGTTCGGTTCAGAAATTGCTATTTGAATAAAATGTCATGGAGAACTAAGCGTCCGCTTACCTTACAACACAGAAGTTACACTCCTGGATATTTATCCCAGGAAAATGAAAACTTATGTCCACACAGAAATACATACGCAGTTGATCAGAGTGGCTTTATTTGAAATAGCCAAAAACTGGAAATAACTCAGATGTTCCACCAGAGGTAAATGGCTCAGCAAACTGTGGCACATCCACACCATGGAATATTATTTAGCAATAAAAAGAAATAAACTATTGAAATACACAACAACTTGGATGGATCTCAAGAACATTATGCTGAAGAAAAGCCAATCTCAAAAGGTCACATACTGTATAATTCCACTTATATAACATTCTCAAAATGACAGAATTATGGAGATGGAGAACAGATTAGTGGTTATCAGGAAGGAGTTAGGAATATGGGGATGTGGTGACTGTGTGGAAGATCTTTGTGGACTAGTTCTGTATCTTGATTGCAACTGTGATTACACAGTGATAAGATGACATAGAATCATACACATACGTTGTACCAGTGTTATTTCCTGGATTCGATATTGCAATAGCATTATATAAGAGGTAACCATTGGGGAGAACTCGGGGAAGCTTACATGGGACCTTTCTGTACTCTTTGCAACTTTCCGTGAATCTGTAATTATTTCAAAATGAAAAGTTTTTTAAAGGGAGGATGAGGGCATTATATGGTACGTAGGTAACTTAGAAGCAATAAAAACCAAGAAAAAGGGAAGCTACTACCCATGCTAGAAATGAGAATGTTGAGTATGATGTTAGAGAAAGGAGAGATCTCCCTTTCTATGGTTGGCCCAGTTCCTTTGGAAACCTTGCCTCCCATTCGCCCAAGATGAAATAGGAAAATACCAGAGAATTTTGTTTACCTATAAGCTTTTAAACAAAACAAAACCCTGCCTTTTTGCCTTAGATATGCAATGAAGTTCCAGGAAAAAAAAAAAAGGCTTTAATGAAAAGAGCTATAACTTACACTGTTTCTTTGAATGTTTTTTACTTGTCTACATGAAGTTTAAAAGATCATTCAAGAACAACAATGTAAATATAATGGCTCTCCAACTCACCATCCTATTATACACACATCCCATAATGTTGTATCATTTATTTTGTTTGGAAATCAACCCAACTTTTGATCCTTCCTCTGTGGCTCAGCAGCTGGATTAGCGTTTTGTGTGCTATTTCCTAAATAATGGTAGGTAGGCAGGAATAGTGCCAGTCTCACTCACTGTCCCTCACTCTTGGTGTTTGTGGCATGTTCAGGATAGCATATGAAAAAGGAGCTCATTACTAAGTAACGGAAGTTCCTTGCTTATATTGTGTATGCAGCAAAAACAGCATTTGGATCAATTTACAAGTTGCTGCAAAACGCTGTCAAGAAATAATTTCAGTTGTGCTTTAGCAAGAAAATAATGGATCTGTGCTATACTACATGCCTTTCGGAGTCCCTCATTGGGTTTTCTGGGACGCTGGCTGTGGGAGTCAGACTCTTGTTAGTGGCAGAGATACTGCTGTCCCTTTGCTGCCCCTGTCCACTCTCCAGTGTCTCCTCCAGGGTGCGCCAGGCAGGGGCCACGACATCAGAGAGCAGCCCCATTCTCCTCAGGAGCCCCCAGTGCTTCCTTTCTGCCAAGCTCTTTCTCCCACATGGGACCAGCTGGCTCACCAGTCGACAGTCTATGACACACACATGCTTCAAGGATGTATCACATATTTTGTCTGGAAACAAGCAGCATGCTTTTCCCATGTAGGCACTTTTCTTCCTTTTGTTTGCAATTTGAGTGGCTTATCCTGGGTGGGCTTGGGGATGAGATACAGTGTGACCGCTTGAATGCTTCAAAACAGTTGGTTTTTATAATTTGTACTGTAAAAACAACTAGAATAAGACCATATCCTTACGATTTGTTTAATGCAAGGAGACAGTCTGATCTCTGTGTTTCTGGTTGCTTCCTTATCTCCAACAGCATGTATTGCATCCCTTGTGAAGGTCCTTGCCCCAAAGTCTGTGAGGAAGAAAAGAAAACAAAGACCATTGATTCTGTTACTTCTGCTCAAATGCTCCAAGGATGCACCATCTTCAAGGGCAATTTGCTCATTAATATCCGACGAGGCAGTAAGTATTTCATCGCCCTGGAAGAGGTGACTGGATCTCTTGGTTTCTTTTGTTGATGCTTTTCCTACCCATCCATGACTCACAACTAAAATATGGGCCTAGAAAAACAACATGGTGCGTAAGCCTCATGCTTGATGTCTCTCCTTTGAGTTTCCCTCAAAGATAAAAAACAGATTGAAAGGCAGTCTGTTTTCTAGCCATTGGCAGTGTTTATTCCTGCAGAGGGTCATCCCTCTTCTTTCTTTTAGTCGCGTCTTATGCAGGAGAGGCAGGTCCCAACACACACAAATGCCAGAAGAGACCGAGGGATCAGAGTTATGACTCAGCAGCCTCCAGCTGGAGCCAAATCCACACAGTTTTAAGTCCAAAGAGTTTCGGTTACTTCGATATATTGAGGAGACTGAGCAAAGAGAAGAGTTTAATGATATCACTTTAAAATTTTATTGTCCAAAAGAATGGTTGATCTCCAAATTTACTTCTGAGAACCAAAAAGATAAAAGTAAGTGTCATCATTTATTTAGAGCTTCCGTCTCACCCCTGTAGGGTCACCATCATCTGCAGTAGATGGCGTCCCTGGTCATTGCCTTTGTGCAGGGCAGTTCCCATTGACTTATTCTGTCATATTTTCACTTCTGGTCTTTAACTGACAAGGGCTTCTAGTCGTGGTGCCTTGAATTCTCCACCTCCAGGACCACTTGGTCAAGGTACTGGTAGTTTCATAAGGTAGAATAAATATAAGAAAACTTTGAGGTTGAAAGGAATTTTTTTCCTAAATCCTTTTGTGAAGAAATTGTTTTTACAGTTCAAGAAAAAAAAATGACTAATTACTTTATTCTGTGAATTTACATTTCCTTAGTACTGTTTGTTAAATGAATGAGCTATATTCTCATGGTGTAGACGTGGCAGAAGCAAGTTTTTGCTTAGTTTTTCTGAATTTTTTGATAGTCCTTGTTTTTCATGACACTTTTCACCTGTTGACGACAGGGATAACTTTGTTTCCACACAGCTACCCTCATGGTATTCTGCGGTTTTATTCTTTTTGCTCTTACTAAATTTCCTAATTTTTAAAAAGATTTCCTCATTCCTAGAACATACCCTTTAAGTGCGTAAACCTTCCTTTTTTAATTCTTTTAAATCTTCTTATCCTAAAGATAAAAACTGAATCCGTGAATTAAATCATGGAGAAGTATAATTTGAGAGGGAATTGGGACATATTCTTGCGTGATAATGGAATGTGTCTTCCAATTTATGTCCAGCTCAGGAAATCAGCTGGATTCAGGGTGACAGGACGTCTCATTGGAAAGGACATTCCCAGCCTTGACTACAGGGCCTGTGTCCTGCCCCACGTTTAAGATTCATCTTCTTTTCCTTGACACATCAACAGTAGGCAAACTCTAGTCTTTACAACTTGGATTTCTCTTGGAAAACCATTAACTGGGGCCTTGCCCTCAAGGACAGTACCCTTATTCTTTTATTTTTATCAATTCAAAGCAAAATAGAACCTTTCATTAAATAAGCCTTCACAAGTCATACAGGGTAAAATCCCGTTAGTTGAACCATACTCAATTTATTATAGTTTTGATGTAAGTTGAACTGAAGTTTACTATTGACTTTGAGAAAAATATAGGGTAAATAAGAGGAAAGGAAATAAGCTGTTTATATATCATGTTGTTTTTACACATATATTAGCAGCTATTAGAAAATAATACATGTACCTTATAGAAAATTTAGAGATGAATTTTTAAAAAGCACCTGCAGATAACCATTGTTGACATTTTGGTGTGTTTTCCTGTCTTAGTAGGATGGAACCTTTAAATATAGATCCCTGTATCTTAGGAACTAGAAATGCAGCACAGGCAGCTCCTAACGAGACAGGGAAAATGTTGTTTATTTAGTCATGCCCTTGTACTGTGGAGGCAGCGCTGTCTGTTGACAGAGCACATTAAAAGACGTTCCCTAGATTTGTCGGCCTTTGCTAATTGGCATCTGGTATTTATGATTTTACGTTCTGTTCATCGGCCTGGGAGCAGCAGTACCGGGCCTTCTAGAAACACACTTTCCCCTGCCTCAGGAGCTCTGTCCTGGGAGGGGTTGTTGAAAGTCAAGCCCGGGGAAGTGCATTTTTGACGGAGGACAGTGGGTCCTGTGCCAGCAGCCGGAGCATCTCAGCGGCACCACAAAACAAGACCTGCCACCGAATCGCTCCCTACACGTTTGTGAGAAACCAAGTATGTCGCCCTTACGCTCAGTGACCACTCAGTCACACGGTCCCTCTCGCTGTAGATAACATTGCCTCGGAACTGGAGAACTTCATGGGGCTCATCGAGGTGGTGACAGGCTACGTGAAGATCCGCCATTCCCATGCCTTAGTCTCCTTGTCCTTCCTGAAGAACCTCCGCCAGATCTTAGGAGAGGAGCAGCTGGAGGGGTAAGTGCTGCCCAGAGTTTGTGAGCTGACATTCTCCTGTTACCAAATAAGTAGCATGCTTTGAAAATTCTACATGGCTAGGTAAGGGTTCTTTCTTGTTAAAAGGAAGACAGGAAGAAGAGACAGTGTGCTGGTACCACCTGAGTGATGGCTTGCCTCGGTAGAGTCTCTTGTAGTCAGGATTCTCCATCCTCGGGACGCTGCTGTTTTGGAAAACTGTGTTGTGACCCCTCAGTCAAGGGCGGCCTGTCTACTGTGGCTGGTGAAACAGCAGACAGGGATGCTGTTTGGGCTCTTTCTCCCAAGAGTGACAGGAATGGGTCTAAAATACTTAACTCTCCGTGAAATCATCATTTACATGACCCTTGTCTGCCTCAAGATACTGCACTCTCCTACATAAAAACCATTCCGTCTTTCAAAATAGATCGGGATATAAGAGATTCGGAGAAGTATGGATATAAGAGATTCGGAGAAGTATGGATATAAGAGATTCGGAGAAGTATGGACAGTTCGTTTTGTTATAAAGAACTCTTGATTCACAAGATTGTTTTTATTGATTAGCTTATAGGATTTGTGCTATTGATAGGATTTTTGTCTTCTGCAGAAATATGCTTTGTAATAGGGGTTTTAAAATAGCTGGAGGCTTTCCACCAGAGGATAAATAAAAGTTGGCGCTTATTGCACACACAGTTTCTTTTCAGCAGTTAGCCTGTGTGTACCTTTGCATCTGTACTTTTTTCTTCACAGTTTTCCTTTTAAATACAGCTCTTGCCTGGCTTTAAGTTAATGATTTGAAATAAAAGGAGACATCCATGAATGAGTGGATTCCTTCTAAAGAGAATTGGGGAAATAATTTAGGAAAGAAAGAGGTGGGAAGGTCATGGGAAAGGTTGTCCTTGCGAATTATCTGCCCCAACTGGATAAAGTTACCGCAAAAGAGTTCCTTTACAGCCTCTCTGCTTTTCTCAGCCTAACTCTTGGTCAGTCTTAAATTCTTAAAATTCCATCATCTGATACAGCTCAAGAGAGAGGGCAGCTCTTCATTCCATCCTTGAAAAGCACACTGTCCTCCCCACTGGGAACACTGATCCTTTAGAAAAACTTCTTTCTTCTCGCAAATCCAAGAGGCTGCCACTACGCCCAGTCCTGGAGTGCTCCAGGTCGCTTACAAGGCAAGCCGGGGCTCTGCCAATTTGAGGTGGTGGTTATTGTTTGTTGTATTAAATTTTAAAATGAATTTTAGCGCAGTTCTTTTTTTCTCCAAGTAGGTTTGTGTTTCTGGAATCCCCAGGGTTGGTAGGCACTTTGTCTTTGGCAGATAGGTATCTGCAAGTTTTCCTGCTGCTTAAGGCTACACATTTTTCCCCAGGCTGAGCTCGTGATAGACATAGAGGTGAAAGCTGAGAGGAGAGTTTAATTAATTTTTACTAGGTACTATTACATGATGTGATTCCTTTTTAGTTGTGTGTTAACTAAAAGTATTATGCGTTTAAATGTAGCTGAAAAGTAATGCCCTATTTTTATTTGCAAGAATATTTGTGATGTATTTCTCCTTATTGGGACACTTCCAAGCTCAGGTAAGCTTTGGGCCCGTGCCCTGCTATGAGTGTTTTAGATGGTGAGGGGGGGCGAATGGGCCTCAGGTTGTCACAACCTGCTGCTGATCAATAGCCCTTGTAGCTCTGAGGCTGCTGGCCTTCCAGCCTTTAATCCTGCGTGCTGCTTCTTGGAGGCTCTGTCTTGAGCTAGGGTGCTTAATAATCTTGTCTCTCTTGAAGGGAATTGAGTTCTTTCCCCTGCCTTCCTCACCCGTAACCAAAAAGGTGTAGGTCATCCTCGCTTGTGGTGAACTCCCCCACAACTATCTTTGTAGCAGGTATGACCAGCAGCAACATCTCAGTTCTTTATTTCTCCTCCTCAGATTTAGGAAGAGAGTTAGGTCCAGCCCCTTCACCTGCTGCCCTCGCTCCTGCAAGAAGGGAAGAGTCAGGGGGAGGAAGAGAAGAACAAAATATGATAAATAGATAAATGCCGAGAGGGCAAAGCAGAACTTGCAAGGTGCCCCAAGGGAAAGAAAAGGAACGTGCCATGGGCATGAAAAAGAGTCAGATATCTGATTAAGAAGATCAAACCGGCTTCTGAGAAGAGGTGGCATTCGAGATGGGCCTGGAAGGGTTTCCGGAAACAGTCAGAAAGAAGAGGGTGAAGAAAGGCAGTTCAGGGTAGGGCGGCAGGAGCAAAGGCAACGAGTTTGGGCATCCTGGGACCTGTTTGGCAAATAATTCTGGAAAGGTAGGTGGTATTAGAATTACGTAAGGTGTTATGCACCCAGGTGTGGAGGTTATAATTTAGGTAGGCAGTAGCACGTATTCAAGGCTTCTGAGTTAGAGGAGTGTTAACCGAGCTGTCTGGAAATTTAATTTCTGAACATTCGATTTCTGCGTGCTTTTGATTGAAGCCAAGATAACTTCTATCCCAGTGGTTCCCAAACTTTGCTATCCCTTAGAAAATCCTGATTCCCAAGTTGCACCCTGTCCCTATTCAATCAGAATGTTTGGGGTGGGATCCGGGTATCAGTGCTTTCCTACAGATTCTGAGGGACTTTCAGTGCACAGCAAAGATTGGAAACCACTGCTCTATCTCGTTATTTCTTCTCATCTGCATATCCCCAAAGCATTTTGATTTTTTTCGTGTCACACTGTTGCCTCAAAGTACTATTTTTTGAACCTCTCATAGCCAGTGAGAACATAAATAAGCACTTTCATTTGGTTCAATAGGATGGAAGTTTTGATGGAGAGCCGAAAAAGTCATCGTGTAGAGATCCTTCATATCCAACTAGCTTGGCTTTCCAAACTGGAACTGAGATGTGCCTCCAGAAGTCTCCCGAGCAGCTCAGACCACTGGGTCAAGTCAGGAATATGAAATTCAAGCACTTTACCTAGAGCAGAGCTCTTAGAACTCACAGAGAGCCTCTTTGCTCTTACATCAATCATCGTGAGCCAATTTTGTAATCTGATTTCCAGGCTAACAACAGATAGAGGCAAAACCACATCAGAACAGACAGCAGGGTAGTCAGTTGCTGGAGAACGGGGCTCAGACAGCATTGGTTTGTCCAGAAGAACTCAGACAGCCAGGGTTTTCTTGAGGGCATCACTCAACTCTGTTAATGTGATGTGTTTCTAGAGTTATAACTTTAAACATTAAGAAAACCAAGGTTCTTCTGCTATTTAAGAAGGAAGCAGATTTTGTAATACACGTGCAAAATTTCTATAAAATGGCTCATTTTTAAGGCCTTGAATAAAAATATTTCTGATATCTGCAAATGTTCTTATTTGGACAACCTTATTTTTGACGTCATCAGCTAAATCAGGAGTTAAAATTTCAGATTTTTTGGTGCCACCAAGGAAAAGCTCTGAAAAGAATAAAAGTAGGTGAAAGTGGTGGTTTATAAGAATTGAAATTCTTGGCTGCATTGAGGTATCTCTATGCTCATGTCCCCACCGCTTGACTTTGCAACACTCAGGGTTTCATTCTGCCTTTGCAGCTTTACGATTAGGTGCAACAGGGTTGTGCTTGAACACTTCTCTGGGACTTTTAAAAAATATACATTCGACCATGTGACTCAGCAGTTCTAGGCTCTACCCAGTGTCTACCCGAGAGAAATAAAAACGTGCCTACACAAGACTTGTGTGTGAATGTTCATAGCAGTATTATTCATGATAGCCCCTCCCCCCAAAAAACCCACTGGAAACAATCCAAATGTCCATCAACAGATGAATGGATAACAAAATGTGGCACAATGGAATACTGCTCAACAATAATGTAACAACATGGACGAACCTCAAAAATATTAGGCTAAGTGAAAGAGCTGGACACAAAAGGCTATGCATTGTATGATTCCATTAATATGTAACTTCGAGAAAAGGCAAAACTATGGAGATAGAAAGTAGATCAGTGAGGGCTGGCGATGGGATGGGAGATTGGCCACCACCGGGAATGAGAGAAGTTTGACATGATGGAAGTGTTCTGAAACTGCATAGTGGTGATGGGTGGACAGCTGTATAAATTTACTGAAGCGCAGAACTGTACACTTATAATGGTTAATTCTTTGGTAGGTAAATTATCAGACCCGGTGGTCTAGTGGTTAAGATTCAGTGTTCTCACTGCCATGGCCTGGGTTTGTTTCCTGGTCAGGGAACCACACCACTCGTCTGTCAGTTGTCACACTGTGGTGGCTACATGTGGCTATGATGCTGAAAGCTATACCACTGGTATTTCAAATATCAGCAGGGTCACCCATGGTGGATAGGTTTCAGCAGAGCTTCCAGACTAAGACAGACTTGGAAGAAGGACCTGGCTGCCTTCTTCTGCCCATGAAAACCCTGTGAGTAACAGCAGAGCATTGTCTGATAGAGTGCCAGAAGGTGAGAGAATGGCACAAAAAGACCAGGCAGGGTTCTGCTCTGCTATACACAGGGTCACCAGGAGTCGGAATCAACTCGATGGCACTAACAGCAAAATTATACCTCAGTAAAGCTACTTTAAAAACACTCAAAGAGGAAACATTTTCCGAGTATCTGGTACCTAGTGTTACTTAAATATAAAGTCCCCCCTTGCTGAGCCCCCAAGGTTGGTGTAAATATTGGATTTGGGGAAAACTGGACGTCGTGTAAAGCAGCCCATTGCAGATGGGTTAAAAGCAGCATCTGTGAAAAGGCCAAGTCCTGTATCAGTTACAGATTGCTCGGATGCTGGAGAAGGCCCCCATGTGCTGGGTTCTGATGCCCCCTAGAGACAACCGGAAAGAGGCCATGGTTCTCCTCTGCGAAGTGAAAGGGAATGATCGGTTGTGTATTTGCAGACTTTGTGTGTATGTGTGTGAGGAAGATTGGCCCTGAGCTAATATCAGTTGCCAATCTTCCTCTGTTGGCTTGAAGAAGATTGTCGCTGAGCTAACATCTGTGCCAGTCTTCCTCTATTTTACGTGGGATGCTGCCATAGCGTGGGCTGACAAGCAGTGCTAGGTCCACACCCAGGATCCAAACCCATAAATCCTGGGCCACTGAAGCTGAGCACGCGAACTTAATCACTATGCCACCGGGCCAGCCCCTGCAGATTTTTTTTCAATTTATCAGCAAGGGCTGGAAAGCGGGGAATGTCCCTTCCTACCTCCACAGGCTGGAGACCTCACCCTCAGGCCCATTTGACCCAGCCTGGGAGAAGCCTAATAAATACTTTGCCTAGAGTTGTTGCTTAGTAAGTGGTGGAGGTGACAGTCAGATCCTGATCTTTGAATTCCCAAATGCAGTGCTCTGAACCTTGGACGCCAGGCTGTCTTCTAAGTACCACATCAATCCCCAATGCTTTTGCCTTCCTTTGCTTCCTGATCCTTCTTGCTGTTCATCAGAGCAGGCAGGAAGGTGGTGGTGTCGATAATTCAGAGGTAAGACGGCCCCAAGACTGGAGCCATAAATAAAACAGTTGAGTGTATAATATATGCCAGGCATTTAGAATATCAGTACAGATAGTATATAGATGTCCTCAAGGAGATAACCAACCACTGCCAGCCTGCCTCCATTGGTATGCATTTTGGCTGATGGGGCCTACGCAAGTACAACACAAACATTTTTTGCAACATTAGAAGGCTGGGTGCCACGATTCCAATATCTATAAAACCCAGGCACCATGGAGCCTACGTAAGCTTTATAAAAATAAACGAATAACTTAATTTTTTAAAATACTCTTTGAATGGAAATGCAGTAAGCTTAGAAACAATTAGAAAATCACATTTACCGAGTGATTGGCATAAATAGCCATTTCCTTTAGGAAACAATGAAAACCTAAGCGTGTGTGTGTGTGTGTGTGTGTGTGTGTGTGTGTGTGTTGAAGATGTGCAGACAAGTCTCTGTCTTCTGCCATCTCTTAATTCTCACCTAATCATAGGAGGAATTTGAGGGGAGCCAGTCCCCAAGCTGGGGTTGGAAAAACAAGAGCAGTATTGACAGGCAGCTCATGAATGGCTTGATTATTATTTTGATGAGGGTTTTATTTTTATCTTTCTGTCGCTTACACAGGCTCCATAACGCCTGGGTTTTATTGATATTGGTATCCTGGCTCCAGGCCTTCTCAGTGTTGTAAAAATGTTTGTGTTTACTGTAAAAAGATAATCTTGCTTTTCAAAGTGATTAATCACATACACAGAATTTCAGTATGCCTGCCATTCATTTGTCACATTCCTGATTTATAATTCATGCTTCCTCCCCTGGAGAGAAGTGTGTTTTGTTCAGAAGGTATTTTCAGTACAGTTCTGTGCCCTGCTAGCGAAATTAGTTTACCAAAAAGAAGCCTCATCCTGGGTTGAGACAGAAGTTTGGCCTGGTTAATTGGCCCTTACTCCCAGCCCAGAAGTTTCTGCACCGACAAAGAGATTTTGTCCTGTGTGGCCAGCTCAGGAACCTGAGCAGCTAGACCCATTGGGGTGAGTACTGATGCTGCAGAATGTCCTTCAGTGTTGGAAATATTCCATGGGCAAGAAAGGGCCTATAATAGGAGACATCTATTTCCACCTGTAAACCCTCCTTCAGTTGTACGACTGCACGAATCCTTCTGCCTTCTGGCGTCACCTGCAGCCTGGCAGCGAGGGAGAGTAGACGTGGGTGGGGACTGTCCTGAGGGCTGGCAGATCTCACCTTGCCATCTCTCAGTGCTTCCTGCCTGCACACATGGCCTTGTGTTGCCTATTTGACGTCTAGATTCATTTGGGCAGTGTTTTACATTCCTTTTCCAGTAGATGTATGTGTTAGGGAATAAGCTCTCACTGAAAGGAAAGGATTGTTGACTTGCAGGTTTTTGCCACTTGCTTTGATGGCTGTGAATGTGTCAAGAGGCCTCAAGGTGGGTTTGTGAGGAGCCTGGCTTGGTTTCAGAGGCACCGCCTTTGGACACACTTGGCTCACTGAACCCCTGTGCAGGCAGGGCTCCCATCCCCAACAGCCAAGCATGTGTGGACGGGGTCCAGTGCTCGCCGAGGGGTTGGGCTTCAGGCTGGTGGGGCAGATTCCACCTCAGCTCTGTACCTCCTCCTGGGCATTAGGGTCTTGGACTCTTAAAGCCGACAGGGAGCTCAGATGACACCTCTTCATGCCCCTTTTTGTCCTGCGAGTGAGTAAATGGGGCTACAGAAAGCACTAAGTGACCTGCCTATGGCCAAGCAGCTCATTAATGGCATTTCTCGTCCTGGCTCCCCGTCTCGAACTTCCTTCCGTCTGAACTCCCTTGTGAATTCCCAGGGAAATGTGAAGTGTCTGCTTGGCAGCGTTGTAACCATCACTTCTGCTTTGCTCTAAATGAATGAGACTCAGGCTGAGGACTGACCAGGCGTGTAGAGGTCCTGGTGTGGGTGTAAGGGAAGAAGCTAACCAGGCGCAGAGAGGTGCCTGATGGACACAGCCCCCAGGACAGAGGAGGGCTTCCAGCTTCTGTTTTGTCCTGGCTACCCTGGCTCTGGAAGGAGGCCAGGGATCCTTTCTTCTCTGCTGTTTGTGTGTTGGATCCGTGAGTAGGTCTTAGAAATAACTCAGAGTGCTACACCAATTCCTAGACTCAGTTTTGTGTAAAGTGCTTGAGTGAGCTCCAGAAAGAAACTGAGGCTGAGGAGCAGGCGGGGAGAGGAATGATTCGAGGTCCGTGGGAAGCAGACCTTTCAGCACGGAGGTCGCAGGTGGGCAGCCGTGGCCTGTCTGCCTGGTTTCCTGGGGGACCTATAGAAAATGGTGTACTGCGAGGATCTTTCTCCAGACCCCCAAGCTATAGCTGTCTGCTCACTGCCTCCCCAGGTATGGGTTTCTCTCCAGGTAGCCAGAGGTCGCTGCTGCCAATGCTGGCTGCCCTTTCATCATTCCTTCAGTGGACAGCTGGGTCTGCTGCTTCTGTGTCCATCCGCTAGGGGCAAGACCCACATCTGACTTGGTCGGCTTTGGACCTCCAGCCCCTCATTGGTGCTCAGCATCTGTTAGACCAGAGCTTCTCCAAGTGTGCTCGCAGTACCAGCAGTGTCAGCATCACCTGGGCGCTGGTTAGAAATGCAGATTCTCAGCCCACCCAGACCTACTAAGCAGAAACTCTGGGGATGGGGCTCAGCGCTCTGAAAACAAGCTTTGTACACTTTGCACACTAAACTTGTGTTGGACACTGAGTCGCTGTTGCCTGGATGGCTGGCCCTGGAGGACTGCCCATCAGGGGCCATTTTTCCTACCCCACCTTCTGCAGGGACTGAGGCTGGGGCTTTTCAGGGTGGGGTGAATCTGGCGGAGGGATTCACCACCACCAAGTCTGTCTCCCTGTCCCATTATATGCTGCTGCTGGCAGATGGGATTTACCGCCAAGGATAGCGGGAGACTTTTCTACAGCAAATCTGTAAGCTGTTCCAGTTGAGTAGCAGAGCATGTCTGCTCTCCCATGGACTGATTTCAGGCGCATTGTACATACTCTGCTCTGAGAGAAATAACCAAAGGCATTTCTAGGGGATGATGTGAGTAACATCCTCCACTGTGAGAAGCATTATTTATTGGTAATAGAGATCATTAATTAGCACCTTATCGATTTCAGTATATTGTCCTTGAATCATACTCTTGCCATTGTTAACAGTAACTATCCATTCTCATATACCATTAATAACTAAGTCTCTCATTGGCAAAGGCACTGTATTCTGGAGGCACATGAAGAGAGGACCTGAGGGGGGATGGCCAGCAGACTGGGGTGGGTGATGGAAGAGGGCAGAGGTGCTGATGCGGGTCTTTGTGCTTCTAGGAATTACTCCTTCTACGTCCTCGACAACCAGAACTTACAGCAGCTGTGGGACTGGGACCACCGCAACCTGACCATCAAAGCTGGGAAAATGTACTTCGCTTTCAATCCCAAATTGTGTGTCTCCGAAATTTACCGCATGGAGGAAGTGACGGGCACTAAAGGGCGCCAGAGCAAAGGGGACATCAACACCAGGAACAACGGAGAGAGAGCCTCCTGTGAGTGAACCCAAGGGTCCTCATCAAGTGACCCTCCGCCGATCTAGAGCGTGGCTTCTGTTTGCGGCCCCCTCCTTGTTTTACTTGGAGGGACACAAGGCCTCCTTGACCAACACTTTGCTCTTACATGTGTATCTTCAAAGGCAATAGTGGGAAGATCCATGACAGATTCGTGTTTGTAAACTTCCCTTAGCGTCTATATACTATTTATAAATAGGTTCTTACTCAGGATTTAAAGGAGGGCTTACAAAATGCAAAAAGTTAAATGTCTTTTTACACACAGGTGTACAGTCAGAGTACTTTTCAGGGAAGGGTTTCCTTCCAGGCCTGGGGGAAGTGAGTTCGGCCCTCCCTTTCCCGCAGAGTGGAGGGGAGGCCTGAGAGCAGAAGGGGCTCAGCTATGAGCCCAGCCCCCGTGGCTGCGAGTCCTTGTCCCTAGCTCAGCTTCCTCCTTGCTCCTACCACATCGTGAAAAAGATGGAGAGAGCCTGCCTCCCTGAATTGATACTGCGTTTTAAATTTAGAACAAGATAATTATAATCTCACACTGGTTAGACGACTTTTACTTTGAGGTCTTATATCTGAGATACAACAGTGCGTTTTTCGTCTAACCCTGTATATAGAACTGCTTTTAAAAATGTCGGTTTCTGTTTGGCAGGGTGGGGTTATAAAAGTAAATTGTCTCTCCATCATGGGCTTTTAATAAAGGGAAAGTATTAGAAAAAAATGGAGTAATTTATATGATCAAGGATGATTTGCAGACATGCACACACACACACTCACACACTCACAGGCACAGTAGGGGGAGGATAGCCATTTGACTTTGGTTTGTTTCCCTGCTGTCTGGGTCTGTCCGGCAGACACTCACATTGCTCAGAAAGAGTTTTTAGAGGGGAGAACCCGACGCAGAGCTGGAGAGCATGTTCACAGCCAGTGCCTTCTCCCTCGCGGTCTGCGCCGCGGCCCCTGCTGCACTCCCTGCTCAAACCGCAGCAGACACGGATGTGTCAGAGCATTTTCAAAGCATTCTCCTCCTTAGAGTCAGCCAGGCTGACCTGTCAGACTATGACTACAGTAGCCATTTATTTTCCCTTGAAAACAAAATCATGTTTTCTCTCTAAATAACACTTTAGCAGGAACTGCAACATTTCTCCGATCTCAGTCCAGCACATTTTGCCCACAGACTTCCAGTTTTTAACTGCCTTTAGCCTCTCTGCTTCACCTGCTGCGTGCACATTGGGATTCAGGCAAATAAGAGGGAAAGGACAATTCGTAGGAGACTTTCGCTTTCCATGTGGGGAGGCAGCCATCAGTTCTTCCCTGGTTCTCAATGCAGTTTGAATCCAGTCAGAGGAGCAAGAGGGGGCTCGTGGCAGTGTCCCCTCACCAGCGAAGGCTTACTTCCCTCAGAGCGCAGAAGCCCTCACCACATGAATTGTCTTGTCAGTGCTGGTTCATTCCCCATTGTATGTCAGTGCTAGTCATGCCTGTGTCCTTCCAGTTTGATCCCAAGCTGAGACTAGGGAAAGTTCCGCTCTGTGGCAGCCTGGTCTGTTACCTGTCCTTGGTGGTTGCACAAGGGCAGGCAGATATCCACAACTGCAGAAAGGTGCCATGATACCTAAGAAGGTTCCGCCTGGTGTAAAGGTCTACTCTCACCTTCTTTGGTCCTCTCGTTAGCCCTCGTCTTAGGGATCCGCAGAAAGATAAGGCTACCTTGTTCAGTTAAGCGGTCCTTCTCCATGTAAAGAATCACCCACAGGTTCACGTCCAGTGCACCCAAGTGCACTAAAACAAAGGAGCGAGCCCCTTGGAGCTCCACATAGTAGTGTTTGAGTCCTTAGTAGGATAAGAAAGCCACTGAGAAGTCTAGAAGGGGAATTAGCGTGCACAGCCAGCTTTGGAGAAGAGGGAAATAGTGCAGGACAAGCAACTTCTCAGACATATGGAGGAAAAGAACATTGATCTCTGTCACTCACTGTGCGCCCCTGTGCCCAGGTGAGAGTGATGTCCTGCACTTCACCTCCACCACCACGTGGAAGAATCGCATCATCATAACCTGGCATCGCTACCGGCCCCCTGACTACAGGGACCTCATCAGCTTCACTGTCTACTACAAAGAGGCGTGAGTTTCTGTGCTTGGTGACACGCTTCTGTTGGCAGGGCTGTGGGTGGGGAGGTCTCTGTTTCATCCTCATCGCCTCCCTTGGCTGTCATGTGATGTCCATCACCACCAGTGCCAGCTACAAAGGGGGAAATGGCTCCCCTTGAAGCGATGACTGGACAGGTCCAGCATCTCACTCATGTCCCTCTATACATGGGCCCCTCCCAGGGTGTGGCCCTCTGCTCTAGGTCATGAGCCCTCCAGACAAGGAAGGAGAGAATGGAGAGACTGACCTTCATGTCTTGAACCTTTCATGATTTCTCATAAAATCTACTGGGGGCTTTTCTGGAGCCTTCCGATGACATTAGCCTGCCTAAGCAGCCATGACTTACTCCTCCAGAGGGCAGCTCTTCTTAGTCTCCACCTCCTTCCTCTGCCTCCTGTATCCAGGTGGTTCTCCCAGTCTACTCAGTCACCCTCCTTATCCCGTAGGTCTCTTTCCTGGGAGCTTGGCTTCCCCAGAGCTGGAACCAGAGCCACCAGTGACAGCAGCTGATACCCTTTCTCCTGCTGGACCTGGGGCCCAGGGAAGGGTCCTAGTGATGAAAATAGTGGGGCTCAGGATTATTAGGCATTCAGTGTTCCTGTATATGGGGGTCACTCATGGTCTTCCATCACGCTGACCGGGACGGATATGTTAATGTCTGTTTCAGAAGCCAGCGGCTGTCCAGCCCTTTCATCTGACAGTTACAGAATTCCTGACCATCCATGCATCTGTGCAAAATACTCTCTTCTCTCTGATAGTCCTACATTACCATTTGGCAATGTCGGCTAGTCATTTCGCCAAGGAGTTGATGCTAGTTTCTCAGACAATCTGGAAACTAAATATTTGAAGATACTTAAGTAATCAGAATTGTTTGTGAGCAAATTAGATTTTGGAAGCTATATTTTAGAAGTTGTTTTTCTGTAGCAAAGTCATTTTTCTCCAAAAGTTATCCTTTATCAATAGCTGGATGTTTGCATTAAATGACTGCTTGTTTTTTCTTAATGGTGAAGAGAGGAAAATAGAGTTTGCGTATATTTTTAAGGAGCAGTGTTTTCAATCCCAGTAACTATAGAACTTACTCTTTCTGGGGCAGAGTATTCAATTACATACGTAACTGTGGTCCAGTTGCTTAATTTTATTCTTCTATAAAAATCTAATTGATCATTTGTTTTATTTAGAATTCCCATTATAGAAAGTGTGATGTGCTAGGCCCCTGGGGAAGGTTTCTGGGAACTTTGATGTCAGGGCCCTAAAACATTCTCTGAGCTTTATCGATTGTCTTTCAGACCCTTTAAAAACGTCACAGAGTATGATGGGCAGGATGCCTGTGGCTCCAACAGCTGGAACATGGTGGATGTGGACCTCCCTCCCAACAAGGACGTCGAGCCTGGCATTCTACTGCACGGGCTGAAGCCCTGGACGCAGTACGCCGTTTACGTCAAGGCCGTGACTCTCACCATGGTAGAGAACGACCACATTCGTGGGGCCAAGAGTGAAATCTTGTACATTCGCACCAATGCTTCAGGTATCCCCACACCGCCCCGCCATCCCATACTTCCTCATGAGCTCACTGTTTTTACTTATTACAAGATGTAGTCATAGGGCTCACAGTGAATGTGCCTATTGTCTCTCTCTGTCCTGGGCCAGTCTGTCTTTTGTCTGTCTTGTCAGTTTATAGTACCGTATCACATTCTTTTTCCCACTCCCAATACCCTAGGCTCTTCCGGCCCATTTTCTGGACTTGGTACCATCTTCCATCGTCTGTCTGTCTGTCTGCCTGGGCCAATAGGCCTCACGCTCTCTGCCTTTTAAACGTCCTCCAGGGTCCTAGGTGGGTTTGGTTGGAAGGTCCAGCTAGGATACAGCCCCCTATGGCTGCCCTTCTGGTTTATTTTGATAGTTGAACCTCTGGGAACTGAAAACATGCTGATTGGTGTTCCCGTTACCTCACATGGCTCATTGGTTTTCCGTCTTAGTTCTGTAGCAGCTGGGGTTCCAAGGAGGTCAACAAAAGTTGGAACATGTCCGACAGTATTTGGTGGACATTCAGAGTATTCACTGATGAAAGTGTTCCTCCTTCTCCTCTATCTTCATCTTCTAAACCACCTCATTTCTCAACTCCAGAATCTGGAGCTAATGAAAGGAAACATTTTGTATATTTTCCAAGTATATAAAAACCAGTTTAGAAGTAGGAAAATGCACGTCATTTTTAAACACACCGATAAACATTTTGGGTTGATGGCCGCTGTTAGAACAGGTAGGCTGTTTTAAAATAGCTATAAGCTAGCACGAAATAAGTTTAAATGACAGTGGGTGAGGAGAAAGTGCTGGTGGAGAAAACCTTTTGCTTGTGCACTCCTGCTTCCTCCTCCCCTCCCGTGCTCCGGCTCCATGATCCTGTGAGTGGCCACGATTATGTCACTGACCATAAAGTGTTTATAGAAATAAATCTGGCACAGGCTTCTGATCCTGGATGTGGGGTGGTGTAGCAGAGGCTCAAAGGCAACAAAATAAGTTGTTCTTCCTAAAATTTGGAAGTAACGCTTCCCAGCAATTTACTGTAGCCAGTTCAGGAAAAATGAGAATCTTACCCTATTATGACAAATTCTTAAGAAACCTTTTGCCTTCCCCAAAGATAGAAAACAAAGCACTGTACACATTGAGTCAGTATACCATGTTTTGGTCCCTGTCTTTACAAGTGGTGGGAACAAAGGATAACTTGGTCCTTTGCCTCTGCTTGTTTGTGACACTTACCACTGAAACATCCAGGGGTAACCTGTTTGTTTCTGAAAGACTTATTTTTGGAAACCTGGAAGTGGCCGAGCATCCAGTGGTTATGTTTCCCCTGAAAAAGCTAGCATTAGTTACGACTTTTCCCCTAAAGTGTCATTCCTTACAGGTGTTCAGAAGTTTGTGTATAATATTATGTACCTTAAAGCACCCTTAACCTGTTCACCCCCTTGAAATTTTAAAAGCGTCTTGGATGACCATGTTGCTTAGGTGACATACAGTGGAGGTGTCCCTTGCACTTTGGAAAACCCACCAAAATTGGTGTTTTCTTGTGAGCCCAATGAGAGTAAGATTTCAGTGGTCCTGGGATGCATTTTCCCTTTATATATAGATCAGCTCTGGGTTTGGGGTTGGGGGCGGGTGCAGTAGTAAATAAAGCTTGACCAGATTACTTACCAGTAAGTGAAGCTTTGCCTGTAAATCAATATTCTTTTGCTGGTAACAGAGTCCGTTGCTTGAAATTTGAGTTTTTAAACTGCATTTGATAGTTGTGTCTCTGTCGTTCCATTGACGCGTGACTGTAGAATTGTAGACTTCCAGGTCTTTTACACTGCCTTTTCCTCCAAGCCCACTTACACACATGTGCACGGGCACACACACACATGCACACACGCTCCAGCTCCTTTTTAACTTGCTCCTTTTTAACTTCCTCCTTGCATTTTGATTTCTTGCCATTTTTATCAGAGATTCAAAATTCTCAGGTGAAGTGCAAGTCAGTTTTACCACTTGCTAAAACTACCGACGTTGAACATTTTGGAGAATGGCAGTTGTAATAAATGAGAAAAGTCGAGTGTTTGAATTGGCTGTAGGTTTTAAGTCCTCCGTTCTAACATTGGTGTGCCCCCACAACCTTTTCCATTTGCAGCTCAGTAATGTTTGTTTTCACAGAGATTACCTGAGAATAGATATTATAAAGGGAAATGTTGGCATTTAAATCCATACTGTTTCAAAACAAGGCTCAGTTTTCATTTTGTGCTTCAGTGTTCACTGCTGTTTTCTTATCCAGGTCAAACTTTCAGCTCCTTGTTGGTTTGTGTTGAGGACCTGAGAACCCGGGTCTTGGGTTCATTCCATTTTCTGAACTGTCCTTTGTCCCCTTTTCCAGTTCCTTCCATCCCCCTGGATGTTCTTTCAGCATCAAACTCCTCTTCTCAGCTAATTGTGAAGTGGAACCCACCCTCTCTGCCCAACGGCAACCTGAGTTACTACATCGTGAGATGGCAGCGACAGCCTCAGGACAGCTACCTTTACCGGCACAATTACTGCTCCAAAGGTAAAGATGGGAGGTGGGGAGCCCTGTAACTGTGACCTCCCATTGTCTGAACATATGCAAGCCCCGACATTACACATATCAGTTTAAACCCTACCTTGCAAACCAGCTACGTTCTTGATTGAAGGTGCTGACGGCTATTATTTTTCCTCTCAGGCTTGTGTAACTTGGCTTTCATTTCCACTCTCATTGGGCTTCTCTCTTCTGAGCAGACAAAATCCCCATCAGGAAGTATGCCGATGGCACCATTGATGTTGAAGAGGTGACGGAGAATCCCAAGACCGAAGTGTGTGGTGGAGAGAAAGGGCCTTGCTGTGCTTGCCCCAAAACCGAAGCCGAGAAGCAGGCCGAGAAGGAGGAAGCCGAGTACCGCAAAGTCTTTGAGAATTTCCTGCACAACTCCATCTTTGTGCCCAGGTACCACTGTCATTTGAGAATGTCTCCAGGCTGGTGCCGTCTCTCCACCCTGGTAGTTTGTAGATCAGCAACCTTGGGGCAAGACTCAGTAGCCTTCAAGGAGGGAACAACAAAATAGGATATCAGTTTTGTCAAGTGGTTCCTGTGGAAACTGGTTTGCCCTAAGGGGAAGGGGGCTCGGGGCACATGCTCTTGGGGGCACATGCTGTTGGGGACGGCGGCTTCACAGGTGCAGCTGCCTCTCAGTCGCATAGCCTCCTGCAGAGGGCAGGTGGGCTCTCTGCTATAGGGACGGGGAAATGAAGCTCAGAGAGCTGAAACCACCTGCTTTTGCTCATGGAGCCCCGTGGGTAAAAGCTGAGATTTGAGCCCCTTTCTGCTGCTCCCACTTCTCCGTACTGCCCGTCTCATCTGGCCAAGGACGAGTAAAGCAAGAGGGAGAAAAGTCACAATTTTGAAAGGGGCCCAACTTCAAAACAGAACCAAGTGCCACTGGCATCCTTGACAACCAGGTTTGGGAAGCAGTGCAGAAGACAGCCTCTCAAAGTAAAGCAGCCCCTTCTCCAGTCTCAGTTTCTGCCAAGTGGGGACAAAAGTGGAGGAAAGTAAATGTTCGAAGCAGCACTATTCACAGCAGCCAAAAGCCGAGATCAACCCAAGTGTCCATCCATAGATGATGGATAAACAAAATGTGGTATATCCATGCCATAGAATATTAGTCAGCCAAAAAAAGGAATGAGATTCTGAATCATGGACTACAACATGGATGAGCCTTGAAACGTTATGCTAAGTGAAAGAAGGACAAATATTGTATGTTTCCATATATATAAAATATCTAGAATAGGCAAATTGATAGCAACAGAAAGTAGATTGAGGGTACCAGGGGCTGGGAGGAGGGAAAAACGGGGAGTTATTCCTTAATGGATATAGGGCTTCTCCAGTTTACGGTGATGAAAAATTTTGGAAATAGTGGTGATGGTTGCCCAACATTATGAATGTAATCAATGACACTGAATTGTACATTAAAGATAGTTAACATGACAGGGCTGTCCCAGTGGTGCAGTGGTTAAGTTTACACATTCCACTTTAGCAGCCCGGGGTTTACCAGTTCGGATTCCGGGTGTGTACCTACACACTGCTTGTCAAGCCATGCTGTGGCAGGCGTCCCACATAGAAAGTAGAGGAAGATGGGCACGAATGTTAGGTCTGGGCCAGTCTTCCTCAGCAAAAAGAGGAGGATTGGCGGCAGATGTTAGCTCAGGGCTAATCTTCCTCAAAAAAAAAGTTAAAATTTTTAAAAAATGGTTAACATGGCAAAATTTTGTTATATATTTTTTCATTTATAATTTTTAGCACAATAAAAAAATAGTAAAAAAAAAAAAGTAGAGGAAAGTTCAGCAGGGTAGCCTTGCAATGTCTGGGAAAGGAGAGGGAAACAGAGTGGGGGCCCACAGCTCCCTTTTTTTCCTGAAAGATGATGGTGCAGAATTTAGAAACAACCTCACACCTGAAATCTGGGCAGAGGAGTTGGATTCAGACGAGCACTGTGCCCACGAGCCACTGGTTCCTGATCCCCACGGTGCCCAGCCGCCCACCCGCTGCCCGGCATGGTCTCACCGTTCTTCTTGCTCCCCGACCCTGAGAGGCACCAGCAGCCTGTAGCTTCTGTTTACTCCATAGTCACTCTGCCCTTAAAGGCTTTCTTAGGTTGTAAAACAAATGATTTTTAAAGTGACATTTTTTTTCTATCAAGTGACCTTCCTGGTGTTTGTGTAATAGTCAGAGACAGCCATCCTACTTTGAAAAATCATCCAAATAGGAAATACAGACCTTTTAGAGCTGGAGGCACTATTTCCTTTTCAGAATGAAGCTGTTCGTTGCTTAGTGGCTTTCTGCCCCTTCTGTCCTCTCGAGTAGTTAAAACCACTGAACCGAGAGGTGACATCTCCCGTTTGCTGACAGATTATGGGGCTTCGGTTCAAGTGTTAGTCCAGATGTTCTGTATATCGTGTGTGGTTTCAAGAATCAAAAAGTTTGAGGACGAAAAGAGCTCAAAGATGTTTAAAAACTAGAATTCCAGTGACTTCTCCAACATCCTAATTAATTAAGGATCTATTTGGGACTTGGCCCTTGCTTCCCACACACCAAGGCTCCTTCCTTCGTGGCATTGCTTCTCAGCATGGTCCATTCCCCCACTGCCAGCAGAGGCTCAGCCAGTGTTACTTCCTGTGGACATAGGCAAGGGTGAATTTAGAGCGCCCCAAACTGGCTAGGCAGGAGTTGTCCGTTTATTCTCCATCAAAGGCTGTTGACTATGTTGCTTTCTTGTCCCACTGACCTGCCAGAGGTTCAGGCTGTGAGTCCAGGCTTTGGAAAGGTTTTGCTAAAAAGGCCCCTAGCTTTCAGTTTGTAGTTATAAGACAGTGCCTTTTTTTTCTCATCAGATGTGGAACACAAGATCAAGCGATGTGTAGACAGAGCTGTGGTTGACTCAGATATTATTAATGCACTGTGTTCATGTTGTTGAGTTCAAAAGAAGTTTCCTCTATGCTAAATTCCCCCTGACGAATGCATGCATCCGTCGCTGACATTCTCTCCCTAAGACAAGTCCACCTTCTAGTCTCTCTTTTCATGGGACGGATATAGATACCATATTTTGCCCATGATGAGAGGCCACAGTTTATGAGAACTTCATGGTTTTTTTCATGCCTCCTACTGATGCATAAATCTGATAGCCACACAATTGCCACCAAAATTCGGACGAAAGGAGTATCCAGGTGACAGAATGACTGAATCATAAAGGAAGGTTTTCTGTGTTACAACTCAATTCTCCAAAGACGATTTTTATTTCTTTCAATTCATTCTAACAACAATTTATTTGGGGGCTAAAACCAGTCAAGTCAGATTTAGTGTGTTATACATTGTCCATCGTGTCCCATATGTCTTGAAGTAGGATGGAAGCTAGAGTTTGTAAGTTACTTTCTGGAGTCAATATTTGGTGGTGAGTGCCTTTCATTGACCACTGCCTTTGTATTTTAAGTCACATAGTTTGGGTTAAATAACTGAAATTTCAACAGATGTTGATGAGTAAAAGGTTTTCCCATAGGAGTAGGTTGTATCATGGGCTGGGAGTGGTGATAATATTTGCTGTTGGTCACACCATTTGGGAATGTGGCTGTTAATAAAGAACCATGGAGGGACCGCTCTGCTTGCCCCGTACCTTCCTGATAATGTCCTGTGTGGCTGCCCTCCCTCCAGTCCCTGACTTGGTATCAGTAGTAGCAGCTTTGCTGTCTCCAAAAGTGAACTTAATGGTGTAATCCCAGGTAAGTGGGTGGAGGCTGTGGGAGGGGTTTTAACACAGTATTATTTTGCAGTGGATTAAACCCAAGCAACTTCTTATTTATAGATGCAAGTGGATGTTGTGTTAGTTTTGTGTGTTGTGTTGATTTTGAAAAGAAAGCAGGAAATTAGTTCTGCTAGGCATCAAAAAAAGGTCTCCCTAGCAATCAGTGTGGTTTCTTGTGTCCTTCCCTTCCAGGCAGGTTGGTTCGTTTGTAGAGTGTGAGGATGGGGAATTATCAGCCTCATTTCCTAGCCCTTCTTCCCCCAATATTGTGAAAGCAAATGCAGCGGGGCCTTTAATACACACCCTGACCTTGTGGTTCTGCCTGGTGGAATGAGCATATCTGTGTTGAATGGTCCATAGTTTTGGTGGGTCCCAGTGTGTCACTGCACAAAGGTGGTGACGGTGTTTCCTACAGGAGAATCTTCGGGCTGGGCAGACTGGGGAGCCAGGGACCCTTCCCTAAGCCCTCTCCTTTCCCCTTCCAGGTTTTTCACTTCTGGGTGAATGAGGGCCAACGGGGAGCCTGCTGGGTATCCATTGAAGCATGAATGGCTTCCTGGGTGCCTGACTCCCTGTGGGAACTTCTCTCTCCCCTACGTGAGAGCTGAAGAGCATTCTCATTTTCTAGGCTTTCTCATTTCCTCATGCTCTTACCTTTCTTTCTCAGATGAGATTTGTTCCATTTGCTCCCCGCCCTTTGCTTATTCCTAGGATGGGGGATGCTGGCTGATCGCCTAGTGTGGAAGGAACAGCACCCTGGTCCCACCGTTTCCTGTGGCTTACCTGAGGGTGCCTGTTTCTTTGTCTGGGTGCTTACTATCATTTTCTGTTTTATTGGTTCCATAAATGCTAGCAACCTGTTTTTAAAGTCTCTGAGGGAGCCAAAAAGCCCTTTTTCCATATCCCATGAAAGCAGCCACTGGAAGAGTCCCCCCTCCAGCTTTTTGGACTGCCTCATCTGCCCTCTGGGTGCAGACATTCTTCCCTCAGTGACTTTCTGCATCCCCTTTGCTGTCCTGTTTTTGTAGCTATTGTTCCGAGCCCTACTCAAATCCGTGACAGTGACACTGCCCCTCTCATGGCAGGGCCTCGGGGAGGCCGCAGGTGGTGACTGCTGAGTGGGGGCCAAGGCCAGGCTGGAAAAGACCTCCAAGAGTGTGAAAAATACAGACCCTAGGGCCTCGGAGGAGGAGGGTCAGCGGGAACCCCAGAGAGGAGGGTCTGGGGGTGCAAGCAAGTGCTCACTGCCAGCATCTTTACTTTTTATCCAGAGTCAGGGGTTCAAAGAAGCCACCGTCACAGGCCTTTGAGCCCCATCTGCCCCCTCTCTCTGGGGCCTGCACCACACACTTCACCTCTCACCTCACCCATAATCAATCTTAGCTTGGCCAGTAGATTGGTTACCTTTAATGCTTAACCATAAGGTCTGTGGACCGGACGGCACCAACACTGTGATGAAACAGCCAGGATGCCAGGGTCGGCCAAGATGTTTGTGTGCTCCTCAGTATCATCGAGCAACCACTCTGGGAGCCAGGGGGCAGTTTGTGTGATGATTCTGAGGTTCACAGAGTAGAGAAAGCAAAATAAATAATGAGGAAGGAAATCCCCATATTGTTTGTTGATTCTTATCCAAGGGGGCTGAATAGCTCCTTTTATTCCATGGTTAAGACTTTTCTTTTCTTTTTGGTAATCTAACCTAAGCCATAGAAAAGACAAAAGAGACAGAAGCCCTCACGAGCCAAGTTTCTTTCTTCCTTGCAGACCTGAAAGGAAGCGGAGAGATGTCATGCAGATTGCCAACACTACCATGTCCAGCCGAAGCAGGAACACCACGATGGCAGACACCTACAATGTCACAGACCCAGAGGAGCTGGAGACAGAATACCCTTTCTTTGAGAGCAGAGTGGACAACAAGGAGAGGACTGTCATTTCTAACCTCCGGCCATTCACTTTGTACCGCATTGACATCCACAGCTGTAACCACGAGGCTGAGAAGCTAGGCTGCAGTGCCTCCAACTTCGTCTTTGCAAGAACCATGCCTGCAGGTATGGTGTGATCCAGCTAGCCCCACTCCCAACAGAGTCACAGCCTAGTGGAGGAGATCATGCTTTATGGACATGGAGTCTGACACCCAGGGCAATGACCCTTATCTTCAGTCCTTCTTATTAAAGAATGAGCGGCTGGCCCAGTGGCATAGCAGTTAAGTTCACACATTCCGCTTCAGTGGCTCAGGGTTCAGTGGTTCAGATTCCTGGCACAGACCTGTGCACTGCTCATCAAGCTGTGCTGTGGCAGGCATCCCACATATAAAGCAGCAAAAAGAGGAAGATGGGCAGAAGATGTTAGTTCAGGGCTAATCTTCCTCAAAAAAATAAAAATAAAAAAGAATGAGTGGTCATTCATAGGCAGCATGGTAGACTAGCAGCTCAGGGAATGGAGTCCATTCATAGTGACATCACCCCCATCCCAGTCTCTCCATACGAAGTACTCAAAAGTAGGGAGCTGGGTCCTGCCCATGGCCAAGGGGTTAAGTTCTCGCACTCAGCTTCCACAGCCCCGGGGTTCACCAGTTCTAATCCTCTATGCGGACCTGTCACTGCTCATCAAGCCATGCTGAGGCAGCATCCCACATAGAACTAGAAGGAATTACAACTAGGATATACAACTATGTACTGGGGCTTTAGGGAGGAAAAAAAAAAAAAAAAAAGAAGATTTGCAACAGATTTTAGTTCAGGGTCAATCTTCCTCAAAAAAATTAAAAAAGCAAAAAAAGACTTGAATGCCAATGTGGTCTTTCATAAAAAAAAATGCAGGTAGCTCACTTCAGGGTCAACTCTCCTCCTTCTACCTGGTTCACATTGTGCGTTCCCACAGCCCTTTTTCTCCATTTGTGCACAGGTAAATTTGCCCAGTCCCTCCTGAGTTCTCACAGATTCAGTGAAATCCCCAGTTAGCTGCCTTGATTTGGAGTGACCATTGCTGCTCAAGGTCACCTCCTGGAATAGCCTTGGGTCCTGCTTGTTTGGTCTTCAGCTTCCCCTTGTAAGTTAGAAGCCGCCTGCCACTCAGACAGCCATCCATCCATCTTTAAGGATGGGTGACCTGCCCTGTTCTCTTTCCCACTGGAGGCAGCAGGTGGTAGAAACAGCACGGAAGTGACTGGAGTCTGGGAGAGGGGCCTCCTGGCTGCAGTTCTGGCACTGACGTGCAGGGTGCCTCGGGGCAGCTGTCAGCCTCCCCGGCCTGTTTCCTCACTCTCCCAGGAAAGACATAGACCAGCTGATTTCTCAGAGCCTTTCCCGGTTGTACCTTGCAGTGACTTTTGCTTGCCACTTGGCTGACTGCTTGAAGAAACACAAGCGAGAGAGCAAGCCCCAGCCTCAGCTAGCAGCTGGAGTAGTTGATGTCGGCAGCGAGAGCTCGCTCTCAGCACCAGCTTCTTAGCAGCTTCCTCACAGGCTGGGCCTGTGGACCATCCTCCATGCCTGCGTAAAAATTGCACTTGCTGTGTGCAGATGCAGACTGTGAGGGATCCGTGTCACGGCCTGGAGGCTCAGTGCTGCTGCTTCTGCTCACTCAGCACCTTTTCGATGCTGCTCGAGTTTGATGGCATCACGTAGTTTCTTTTTTCAGGTGGTGGAAGCTGAATACCAGAAATAAGTTACTCAAGTTGCCAAGATTTTCCTACTGTACTTGATAGCAGGCTTTTTTGTTGAGAGGCGGAGGGGAGGGGAGGGTATTGTGGCATCTGGAGGCTTACAGATCATTAGATTGCTCTGACTCCAAAAGCTCTGCTGTCTGCAAGCAGCCAGCTCATGAAGAGTTTCCGTGGTCCCACCAGTCCCGCACGTGTGTATTGGGGGAGGGTATTCTTAGGTTACCTCAGCGTTTGTGTCCCTCCCTGGGGACCCAAATCCGACTTTACCGCTTGTTTCAATTGTTGCACAGAAGGAGCAGATGACATTCCTGGGCCGGTGACCTGGGAGCCAAGGCCTGAAAATTCCATCTTTTTAAAGTGGCCAGAACCTGAGAATCCCAATGGATTGATTCTAATGTATGAAATAAAATATGGATCACAAATCGAGGTGAGGCTGGGGGATGGTTCGTGTCAGGGTGCGTTTCCATGACAGTTGATAGCATATGTTACAATACAACACAAGTCTCCCCCCAGTTAGCTCACAACTTAAAACCAAAAAATGAGGTGGTAAGTCAGTGAGGACCTGAGTCTGTCTACCAGCTGCATGCTCTTTGAGGAATACTGAGGAGCTGGGCTTGTTCTCACCCTCAGGAAACTCTTTCATTGCAGAAAATGATCTTTCAGCATAGACTGGATTTGTCTTAATAACTTTTAATCTTTCCGGAGCCCTTTTTGATCAAAAAAACACATTTGGTCAAAACTTGGAAGTGCTTAAAGTTTCTGGAGCACTGCTGTTTAAGACTTGGTCCCCTCCCTTTTATTGCAGTTGGGATCGCTGTTAGGTAGGAAGTGAGAGACTGGGCACAAGGAGTCACCCATTTCTCCTGTGTTTATGGAAAATTGACACGTATGTTTTATGTCCCCCAGGATCAGCGAGAATGTGTATCCAGACAGGAGTACAGGAAGTATGGAGGGGCCAAGCTTAACCGGCTCAACCCCGGGAACTATACGGCCCGGATCCAGGCCACCTCTCTCTCTGGAAATGGGTCGTGGACTGATCCTGTGTTCTTCTATGTCCCGGCCAAAAGTAAGGCTTGTGAGAGAGTAGCTGGGAAAACTGAAAGCAGGTTGGGCCAGGACTGGGGAAGCCTGGGTCATCATGGCTCTCTGATTTTCTGATTTTCATTGGAACAGAGTTGGCCAGCTTTCAGAAGGGTCGCACTTCTGTGAGCATCGGGTCTGGGAGCTCAGGCTGGGGAGCTGCTCTGCTTGGAGTCCCTACCTCATCTGATGGGCAGGGCGAGGGTCTGAGCCCCTCTTCTGAGGAATCGGCAAGAGGCCTTTGTTCTTTACTTGGTTTATGTCCAAAGCATTTCACAAAGCGCTGAATTGACCATTCCACCTCCTCCTTCCTCTTCAGGGATGCTGGTTAGCACTCAGATTCAGGGCTTAGAATCCTAAGGGGTGACAGGAACCTCGGAGCCATCTTGTCTAGCCTGCTCCATGGCAGGAGTCTCCATGGCAGCATCCCAGGCTGAGGCATTGTCCCCTTCACTGCCCATTGGTGAAATATAGATGCACTTTTAAAGCACTAACATTCATTGAAAGCACACAGTGCTCACCGTTTGGCACAGAGATTGGGCCACGTTGTGAGTTTTTGCTCAAACCATCGACAAGACAGAATTCTTGAAGAAGGCCCTTCTATGTGAGGATTTCAGATTTTAAAAGTGAATTTTGTAAAAGTGTATAATCACAACAAGGACCCTATACTTGTTTGGCCAAGAAAATTCAGTATTTTATTTGGTGACATAAATATTCTTTATTATTTCTATATTGAGTTTCTACTATTTCTTATTAGAAACCCGATTTGTTAGATTATTTCATGTTCAGATAATGGGATCAAATTTGCCATAGCTCTCTTTCTTACTGCTCCCGCACGAGAGGACAGCCCTGCCTTGCTCAGTGGCGCTACTTTTGGGTCTAGTGGGCAGTTCCTGCCGCCCTGGTCCCTCCTGGTGTCCACATCTGTGCTACCCTGATCTGGAGTCTGAATTTTTAAATTCAGATTCAACTGATCCGGCAGTCTACCTGGTTAACGCCTAATAGTCAAAGACGTGCAGGGTATTTGAAAATCCTAACAGGGACAGATATCAACAGACGGATGGGGTGAACAGAGTCGCACACCTTGAGGCTGCATTTTATGGGTCTGGCACTCTGCCTGGGTTCAGGTTTCAGGGGTAAACAGATGCTTAGGCAGATAACTCCATCAACTAAAATAGTCTGAATTCTCCATGTGGTCCACTTAAACTACTCTTACTGGTCAGCCTGTGCCACCCATTCCTCTGCTAGAACCTTCACAGTATTTCTAGAGTGCTCTCCAGCATAATGACTTGTTTTTTTCTCCTCTCCTCTCGACATCCATCCCTTAGGAACAGAGCCTAGGTTTAGGGGTCTGGCATCAGGCTGTGGTTTTGAAACAGCAGCCTTGGCCTCTGGGATTCAGTGAAATTGGCTTATCTTGGCTTATCTTTGGAGATGACAGGTTCTTCTCTGCCTTTGCTCCCCCATTTTGAACCCTGTGACTGCTGGGTTGCCAACGGAATCTCTCTAGCAGAAGTTGCCATATACCACAGGGACATAGATCTTCCTGCTGCTCTGCCATCCGGAAGTCTTTCCTTCTGTCGGCCGACACTCTCCTGCTGCACTTGCGTCTCATTTCCTCCTGTTTAATCCTCAGAGGAGATGGGAGCTCTGGAAGCTTGCTGGCAACTGCTCTCCTCTCAGGAGCCCTTCGTGTGCTTGAACACTATTAAATTACTCTTCAGACTTTTCTTCTCCAGACTAAATAATCTCACGTCTTTTGCCCTTTTCTTGTAGCTCAGTCTCATAGACCAATTTTCCAGCCATTTACTCATTTTGTTCTTCTCTGGATGTGTTCCTGTTTCTTCATGTCCCTGTTGAAATGTGAAACTCAAAAAGAACACAGTACAACCTGACCAGTAGTATAAGTGGTACAAATGTAAGAATTAGTCCTCACAGGGAGAAAAAGAAACCTCTACCACCTTCCCAAAGGCAGTGATAACTTGTGAGTAGTTTCAAGAACTAGAAAATGCAGGAGCCTGCATCATTTTGAGAGCTATTTGATAAAAATATCTTTAATTTAAAAAATTAAAATAGCTTTATAGTTCTTAAAGAATAATAATAATAATAGATTTTGGTGGCAAAAGAATCATTGACGGGTGATTTATAATAGATGTAACTTAGTACCCACTGAGTTCCAAACTCATTTCTACATACACATGTCTACTTGGATGTCCCATGGGTACCTCAAACTCCTCGTACACAAAACCAAAATCACAGCTGCTACTTTCAAAACATCTCTCCATCTTTTGTTCCTGAGCTCAGTCGGTGGCCCCATAATCTATGCACCACCCAGGCCAGGAACCTCCCACAGCCATCCCTTACCTTTCTTGCTCTCCAGCCACCCATTTCTCATTCAAACTCAAGTCTCGAAGATTCTGCCTCATAAATATCTCTGGAATCCAGCCTCTTCTGCCGCCACGACTGCCTCAGCTCAGAGCCTCCGGGGTGCTTGCTTTGGGGGAAAGTATGAACTGTGGGTGCAGGAAGCCTGGGTTCCAATCCCAGGGCCCTGGCCCACCAGCTTGCCTGGGTGACCCTGGGGAGGACAGTACATCTCTGTGAGTCTTCCTCATTTGTAGGAAAGAAGCAGTGATTTCTTCATGAGGTCTAAGCTGGGCATACACAGCATGTCCGGGCCCCCTTCTACCCCCTGGCACTCTGCATGGCAATTCCTCCTCCCGCCTGCCAGCCCCTCCAGTCTGCTCTCCGGCACAGCTGTCTCTCCGTACACAAATCTGATCAGTCCACTGCAGGGCTTGAGGGCTCTCACTGGCTCCTTTGAATCTTCCGAATGAGGTTCAAACTGCTTAGCTTGGACAAGGCCCCTTGGGAGCCGGCCCTGACTTCTCTCCAGTATCATTTCCAACCATTCCTCTGCACTTGGAAAGCTTCCCCTGACTCCCTTCTTTCCTCTCCCTTCCTCTCTGCATCCTTGCAATATGTGCAGCCCACTTTTCAGGTTGTTGTGCTACTTATGGACCTATTGATTTCCTGCATGCAGCAGAATTTTCCGGGGTGTAGATCAGCATCCCCAGTGTCCAGCATGGCATCTGTCATATGAATACTGTTGATGGTGATGAGCAGGTGCTGCAGTGAGCTCTGTGGTCTCAGACTTGTCACTAGACTCTAATGTTAGGGAGGAATTCAGAGCACCTTTGGCAAGGGTGGCCATCCAGTTATTTTTTGTTTTTTAAATTGTCTATGGAACTGTCAGAAGACAAATAAAGGTCAGTACAGCTTGAGCATTATATCTATAAGAATATGCGTTTATGTTAGTTGTATGCATTTCCGTTAATAGTCATTAAACTACATGTAAAGATTATTTTACTCGAGCCCATCATTGGAACTGCTATTTTAGAATTCACTGTACTTTAAAAATAAAAATGAGTATACTCCTTAGTCTGCATTTATCTTATCTTTTTTCAAATAACTCAGTTTTTCTGCTATTTCTGATACTGTTTACCTTCAGAATTCCTAGTTCATGGTAGGGCAGTAAAGGAATTTTCAGGGATTTTTTTTCATACTTCCAGCTGAATATTAAAAAATGAAATGAGCAGCTTGCTTACCTAGTGACATTTTGTCATTTACCCCTTGTTTCTGCAGCGACATATGAAAATTTCATCCATCTGATCATTGCTCTGCCTGTTGCCGTCCTGTTGATAGTGGGAGGGTTGGTTATAATGTTGTACGTCTTCCATAGAAAAAGGTAAGTGACTCAGTGAGAGGTTTAGACACATTTTGTGGCTAAGTGTTTTGATGATTTGAACCTGAGTTAAGATGAACTTCTTGAGGATTTATGAGGAAATATTTTATGGATTGGAAAACTCATCTCCTCATTGGTTGGTCTATCACACAAACGCTGCTACTTATGCAGAGCTTTTCCAAACACGATGTCTTAGCTTTCTTGATCAAATAACTCTTTCACTTTCCAATGAAGTAAAGAAACAAATGTGTTTTAAAAAGCTCTAATCTGAGGCCACTGAAGAAGCCAAAAGATGCTTTAGCAAATGTCTGCTGGTCCCCTGGGCCCAAATGAGGAGTGTGGGTGAGAGCTGTTTTGGGAGTAAGCTCCCCCACTCCCCTTCTCCTGCTACGTAATGAAATGCAGCAAATGAAACTGATAGAACGAAGATGTAAGTATATACAGAAGTATGTGGAGATGGGGTTTTTTTTAACCTAAACTTTAACCTTTTTGACAGAAATAACAGCAGGCTGGGGAATGGAGTGCTGTATGCATCTGTGAACCCAGAGTACTTCAGCGCAGCTGATGGTAAGCGTCTCAGCTACCTTCTTCAGGAGTGTTGCTAATTCAGGGGAAGAGGTTTGCGTTATTTTGAGGTACCTTTTGCCTCAGATCTGTCTTCGTTAACACTTCTTTTTTTTTTTTAATCAAAATTTTTAGCAGTTCACTGAATATGTCAAAAATTCTGGGACTGTATGGGATGCCCCAAGGAAAAACAGGCCTCAGAGATGAATGTGGCCAGCACAGTAATCAATTTATTTAATTGCTTGAAATTTTATGCTAGAGTGAAAAAAGCTGTTTAATTGTTGACATCTAGTCAGAGGATATGCCGCAGCTGACAAAACAGTCCTTTTAAACTGGTTTCAGCTTGAGTTTCAGAGCATCTTAATTGTGTTTGATCACTTATGGCTTGTCTTCATTTTTTATCTTGGGGTCCTCCTGACTGGGGCCATCTCATTACACCCTCGTGGCCCAGTCACATTCCCTTTGGTAATAACGAATGAGGGCCATTTAGTTAAGTTGGATTGTACTCAACGGTTGTTGTTGTTTTGTTTTTTTTTTCCTTTTTGCTGTCTTTTCTTCCTGGTGTGCTTAAACCCTAACATTTACAAGTAAGTCAGAGTGGAGCATTGGTCATCAGGTCCAATGACACCAGTACATTAACCGACCATTTGCTAGGGGCTTTTACAAACACTGTCCAATTCAATCCCTCCGTCCCTGTAAGGTGGATTTTCTGGTGCCCATCCATCTGTAGGTGAGGAAACGAGGCTCAGAGGAGAAACTTGCCCAGGTCACATAACTAGGCGGTCGGGAAGTCAGGACGTCACAGTTCCTGGCACCCTGTTGACAGTGTGGTGCAGTCACCATGGAAAAGGACTCTGAGGTCCTCGGGGCAGGCAGGGAACCTGGCCCACAGGACAAGCTGGACTAGATTTGTCAAATGAATAAATAAGTGCATGAAATTGGGTGGATGTGTTTAGAAAAAGTGTTTGTCTCTTTCTTGCTTCAGGAGAAGTGAAAGTACACGTGCAGGAGATGTGAAATAAAGAGTCATGATTATCCTAATTGATTATCCTGATCAAATAAGAAAACATAAGAAAACCCTTTGATATTTAAAAGCACTACATAAATGTGTAAAGTTTTACTGTGATTTTTTTAATAATTTTTAATTCAGTTGTGTTTACAGTAAAGCCAATAAAAGCAGCCTCCTCTGAATAGGAATCAAGTGCAAAATAAGGACGTTATTCTTGTTTATATAAAGGTCTCACAGAGTTGTATTTTTAATAGGCATTTATATATGTACACACACTCCTATACCCCATGTATGTATGTATGTATATAAGTCATAGAGAACATTCTGGAAGGATACACATCAAACTTAGAAAAAGAGTAGTTACTTGTGGAAAAGGTCTTTTTCTTTAAAAAAAGCAAGAAGATTTTTATGTGTTGTTTGTATAAATAAGAGCTTTAAAAAAAAATCAGGTAAGGAGCCATCACATACTTAATGGAATTTATAGGGGAAATGCAAGCCACATCCCTTCTCTGTAAGTGTGGAGTAAGACTATTCTGGAGAATCTGCTCTGCTTTGAAATAAAGCACAGAAGATTGGCATTTATAGCTTTTGACCCTGAAGGGTCCAGGAAGTTTAGAGAAAGCATTAGTACAATAATATCAGATTCTAATGGTGATTTGAATTCAAATTTTGTGTCTTTCTGGAATGCTTTCATAATGTGTCTTGATTCTTCCTTAAAAACACGACAAAAAACAAACTCATTGTCACTCAGGCCAACAGGTAGGAACAGTGTCACCTCATTTGAACTTAATTTATTCAGCCTTTTGCCAAGCACCTTATAGCTAGTTTCCTCAAGGGGTGACAAAATGACATTACAGTTCAAAAATGCTTAAAAAACTTCTTTCTCCAAAAGCTAATCTGCATGTCACCATTCTCCAGAGTACACTGAAAATCCCCTACAGGGAAGTGCTGATAACATTGTGCACATACACTGCTGCTGGCTGCCAGGGCTTAGCACTGCTGGTTAAAGTCAGAGTTGTTGGGTTGAATTTAGAGAGAAGTATTGCGAGCATTGACTTCAGGGACCTCCCAAGGAATGAATGTGATTGGTTTTAACTCCGTGTTTTATGGTGTGCTACATACTTAATGCTGATTAAAAGCAAGCCTGGATTTTCAGAGATAAATGGATATAGACAGTGTCTCCTTATACTTTCTGAGAGGCATTGTGAAGAGTCTTATCTACTGGTTGTCTTGCATACTTACTCTCCTAAGCCAGCGTCAGCCTCTTCTTCAGGGCTATAAACTCTCTAAGCCATATGGAGGGCAGGCTCCCATTTGTGAAATTCCTAAACACATATGTACTATGAAATACAAAAATGTGTATGAAATAAAAGCCTAGATTGACTAATATAGTCCATATTGGACACTTCTCAGAGGGGTATGTTGGTAGTATCTCCTGGGCCAAATTTATAGACATCTTTTCTTTAAGACATCGCTTGGGACTTGGGGATGTTGGTACAGTTGTCAGCCCACTGCTTCTCTCACATCCAGCCACAGGCCGAAGGTTACTGTCTGAAAGCATCAAAGCAAACACAGATGCTGTGCCAGGTTCCCAGTCCTTCTGCGTTTCTGAGCCAGGACCCCTCCTTCCTGCCAGTTAGTGTGCGGTGGAGTCCGCCGGGGTTTCCCTTCTCAGGCAGGGATGTAAGCACACAGCTTTAGAAGCAAATGATTGTGATTGAAATTTCTTGTGGAGCTTATGCAACAGGTTGATTTTATTTTAGTTTTTATCCTACTCCTCAGAGTTGTGGGATGGGTCTTCTGATTTTTGTTTTCCTTTCTTTCTTACCTCCCTTCTTCCTTTCCCTCTCTCTTTCTCCTTCCGTCTTGCCTAGAATTGTTTGCTTATTTATTTCTTAAACGGGATTGAATCCAACCGGAAGCATAGGCTGGACAGGAAACCATATTCAGGCTCAGTCATTACCATGCCCCATCTCCCAGCCCCTCACCCCAGTGGTGGGAGGGCCCTGAATTCACGGAGCCCAGCCCAAAGCCCTGGCGAGACCCCTCTGTTCATCAGCGGCTGCTCCACGCTGCTTACCACCGAATGCCCCTTTGTGCCAGAGCACAGGTGCTTCTGTGCCTCCTTAGATGCCCCCAGGTCCTTCACGAGGCTGGAGACACTTTGTCCAGACTAGAGCAGTGCTACCTCTGGAAATACAATGCCAGGCCCATGTGTAACCTGGAATTTTTCTAGTAGCCACATTAAAAACAGTAAAAAGAAATAGGTGAAATAAATGTTAATAATATGCTTTGTTTAACCCAATATATCCAAAGTATTATCAATTTTAATATGTAGTCAGTATAAAAATTATTGAAATATTTACATTATTTTTTGTACTAGGTCTTTGAAATCCAGTGTGAAATTTATACTTACAGCACGTCTCAAATTGGACTACTTTCTGGTTCTTAAGTGTCGTTAGTATCCTTGAATTATCTAGGAATCCTTGAAGATGTGAAATATCAGTGTTTGACCCTACAGTTGCCGTGCTGACATCCACAGCATGTGGGAAGTTTCAGAACAAGTCACGTCACTGTCTCCTGATACTCTCCTCTGTGGGCTTTAAGAAGTGGCATCTTGTATTCCTTGGCCCAGAGTTTCCCCCAAAAGCACGTTCTGCCCAGGGGCTCGTTGCCACACCTGCGTCAGTTCTGGTTTCTTCTTCCCTAGTGTATGTCCCTGATGAGTGGGAGGTCGCTCGGGAGAAGATCACCATGAGCCGAGAGCTGGGACAGGGCTCCTTTGGGATGGTATATGAAGGAGTTGCCAAGGGCGTGGTCAAAGATGAGCCTGAAACCAGAGTGGCCATTAAAACGGTGAACGAGGCTGCAAGCATGCGTGAAAGGATTGAATTTCTCAATGAGGCTTCAGTGATGAAGGAGTTCAATTGTCACCATGTGGTAAGAGAAAGCCCTGAAAAGCCAAAATCTGACACAGGAGAACACGTCACTGGAGCCCCCGTGTTTCAGTGGCCACACTTGTGGGTTTTGTATCTTGCCCCATTGTCTTACTGTTGCCTTTAGATACTTGTGCATAGGAAGGTTCTGGATCTGATGGAGACCCTGGCAAGTGGAGCCCCTGTGGCCTGCTCATTTGGGCTCTGCTCCTGGCCCCCACAGGTCCCAGCACCGCACTCAAAGTTCTAGCAGTGATGGCGGTGGGGGGTGGGGGGGGTCGGTGACAGTCCTGGGCAATCCTCACCCTCTGAGTCCTTCTCTCTATCATTCCTCCCAGGTGCGGTTGCTGGGTGTGGTGTCCCAGGGCCAGCCAACGCTGGTCATCATGGAGCTGATGACACGGGGGGATCTCAAAAGTTATCTCAGGTCTCTGAGGCCAGAAATGGAGGTCAGTTTTGATTTTAACCAACTTTGCCTGTTATCTCTTCTCTTTCCTTTAGAGCCTTCCCCCAGAAGATATTGTGTCTTCCAGTCTGTTTACGTTTCGGCATTGAGTGTTTCTTGCTGCATGCTGGGTTATAGGTCTCTTCTATGAGGGGTTTCCCTGACTAGAGAGAGACCTTGCTCTTTAGTGGGAGGCACTTGCTGTTCATCAAATACCCTTTTACTTGGGAACCTCTGTGTTTTTGTTGCTGCATCTCCTCCACCTCCGGTTACCTCCTCCAACGCCACCTCTCCCTAATTTCCACTGACTTCTCTCTGAGCACCGATTTTCTCTTGTTTGGTTCTCTGAGTGTATTCCCATCGACCCCACTGTGTTCAGCTTTTCGTCCCAGGCACAGCCTGTAGCTCAGAGCCATGTTTGTGGCAGGCGATCTTGCAATAAATGCTTGTCAGAGTGCAGTGTTAGGTTGACTAGATTCTTGTGCTGGGCTGGCTTCCCACCCAGTGCTGTGCACGGACATCTGCTCATTCACAAGACCCCTCCCCACACACATGCCCTGCCCCCACACTGTCAGCAGGCTGTGCCTTGAGATGAGGAAGCTCGAATTCTCAAGCTCTGCCTCCACGTTTCAGGCTGGATCCTGAGTCAGTGTTTTGCTTGTGCTTCTGAATGATAAGCGCCTCAACTGCACGATCGCTGCTTAGTCTGGTAAAAAAAAAAATATCAGTTTGTGTTACGAGCTCCCAATTCTAAACCTGCTGAAGTCCTGTGCAGATTTTCATTAGTCATGACAGTGTCTCCTTTCTGTAGCATGAACCTACAGCCAGCTTGTTAACACATGGAGGCATGACTTTTAAGTGAGTAATTCTAAGAGTGAACTGTTAGGTAAAGACTGAGAACTAGTACCAGCAACATCTGCCTTTCATTCGGCTGCCTTGGTGAGTGTCAGGTCCTCACTTTGACCCTGACTTTGCCACCTGTGAGTGAGCTTTGTGTCTGCGTGTATTCCCTAGAATACTGCCCTGTCTCGACCCCTCTGAATTTCTGTAGCCTTTCTCTGTTTGAGCTTAATCTTTTGTTTTTCTTCTTTTAATTTGCCACTTAATCATCTCCCAAGTAGTAGTTCCTTAATCTTAGTTGTCAGCACCTGTTCACCTGTGGCTTCCTTTATTCATAGCAGATGATGGTTGGGACTCTGTGAGGACCACAAGGCCGAGTATGAACCGAGGCCCTGAGCAGGGCACTTGACAGACGTCCACCTCTGCTCCCCTCCACCCGGCCTGCGTCCCAGCTGCCTGGATCTTAGTGCCTTTTCCCGACCCACTTTGTAATGCACAAGCCAGCATGAAGGAGAAACCTTCAGCAGATAGGTGACTGGAGACGTGGCAGTATATTTCTTATCAGATTCATTCTAGACACCTCTCAAAAGTATGAAATGCTCAGTCCCTTCATCCCCGATTTCAGGCACAAAACTTGGAACGGGTGGTCTTAGTCCTGGCTCTGCAGTCCTCAGGCAGCCACTTCAGGCCCCAGTTTCCTCACGTTTAAGATAAGAGGGTTGGGCAGCATGATTACTGAAGTCCTTTTCACATCTAAAATTCATTTTTAGGTTTCTCAGATAAACTTGTTCTCTCTAAAGCATGTCAAGTATGAAAATGTATATGCTTGTCCTGCAGTTTCATTCTGTTCTACTTGGCTTCTTCCCCCCGAGTTAAGATTTGCTCATTTACCTTGCTAAATGTGGGTGCTTGTGTATACATGTCTTAACAGCTCTAAGCAAATTAAAGATTTCTGTTCTCTAAAATGTCTGAAAGATTGGCAGTGTAGCACCAGGAACTGACAGAATGTCAGCCCTCTCTTTCAGTATTTAAAATCATCTTCCTTTTATTGATTCTGTTTTTCATATTAATTATGAATGACCACTTCTAGTGAACACCTATATTTAATCCTCCACACTTAAGTATTGTGAGCATAAACTTAACATTTCACCTGCAGATTTCCTAGTGTACCATGCACATTCAAACTCCTGGAAAGGTTAAAAGGAAATGTTAGGTCCTGAGGGGAAACGGCTTGTCTGAATGAGGCTCCTACATAAAAGAGAGTGGCAGTTTTGGCTTACCCTCGGGGACTTATGTCACTTCCCCAGACAACTCAGTGATCAGTACTTTAAATCACCAGAGACTGTCTTGATCGTCTCTTCAGAATTCAGATATACGTCGAGTGTAGGGAACCAACCCAGAAGTACTTGGAGAGTTGTTATACTGCTGTAACTAGGCAAAGTCAACATCCGCTGAGCACAGAGCCTGGCCAGGCACTGGCAGGCACTTTCCATGCATGATCCCAGGTCATCCTCCCAGCAGAGACCCACGCTGACCCCCGTGTGGAAGAGCCCAGGCAGGAGCCCAGACAATCTGACCCCAAAACCTAGGCTTTTTGCGTGGCCCACAGGGTTTGAACTCCCATGGGAAGGTGAGGCATGGGACCTGTAAGAGCAAGACAGCTTGCAGTGTTGTAAGAGATGCTCTGTAGTCAGGGAAACTGAGGTAAAATCTATTGCACTAGTACAAGCAAGAGGTGGTTAGCATCTAAACTGTAGAGTGCTTATTTGCTTTTGTACTTTTTTTTAGGATGGAGAGACTTGCACATGTGTTTTATATAAAACTTTTTTCTAAATGGGTTTATTATTATTTGAGCATATTTCTCGTCAGTCCAAAGCCAGTATGTTGCCCTCTTCTGCAGAGAGGAAATGCTTATCCATGTTGCTTGTCACTGTTTTATGCTGGTCATCCTCCAAGATAAGCTTTAGCTGGCCTTAAATTAATTGTCAAGTGCTTGTTTTCCTCAGTGCCCACAGAAAATGACAATCCAAGGAATGCCACACTGGAAGGTGAAAAAAATTAATCTCGATACTTTTGTACTTTGGAGGAAAGTTGAAGAGAAAGAAAAAGATGAAATGGTTTATAAGAATGCTTATGTGGGAAATAAAGCACGGTATCCATTTGGGAAGGACATTTGCTTGTTTCCACGTGGCCTTTGTAATGTTTTCCCTCCTTTTACCTGTACTTTGACTATAGGAATAAAAGGAAACATATAAACTAAAAGGAATTTGAGTAACCAAGAATTCTCATTATCAAAAATTGCTTGTTTCACTTTAAATAATTTTTGCCCTACCCAAAATAGAAAATGCTGGTCCCAAGTTGTGCTAATTGGTGTTTCTCTCTGAAGCCCTGAGTGATGTGGTCAGCCAGCAAGCGCATGACTTTACCACGAAGCAGATGCTTTGGTCTCCATAATAATATGTTTCTTCTGAACAAGTCCCGATTTCTTAGCAGAATGACCTGTGGTGCTCAGATTGAACAAAGATGGATTTGCAAACACTGAATGGGGTCGAAAAAATTCCTAAGTTCTCACATGAATTGTTTTCTTTTTTTTAATCTCCAACAGAATAATCCAGTCCTAGCACCTCCAAGCCTAAGCAAGATGATCCAGATGGCTGGAGAGATTGCAGACGGCATGGCATACCTCAATGCCAACAAGTTCGTCCACAGAGACCTTGCCGCCCGGAACTGCATGGTGGCCGAAGATTTCACAGTCAAAATTGGAGGTGCGTCCTTAGCTTTCCAGGTCTGAGCAAGGACTAAACTTGCACACGTTTTAGGGACTGAGTTGGCATTAGCCTGCCTGTGGAGAGGTTTTCCAGCACATCCCGTGAGTGCAAAGTCTTGTTCTTGGGAATAATATGATTCTCCCCAATTGATAGTCACAAACCTGGCCAGGGTGGATCTAATCCTGAGAGCACGTGGGCATGGCAATCCAGGTAGTAGACAACGATGAGTTGAGGCCATACTCCCTGAGGTTGCCTCTCCTGGAATTTGAGGCATTTCTTGGCAGAACGATTCTAAGCATTGGTTAGAGAAATAAACGAAACAATGTCTTCAGGTGATTTTGACTTGGGAGTAAAGGTTGCCATCCAAACTACTACCTCCAATTTTCCTAGCTTACAAGGAGCGTTGTCCCCCCGAGGGATCCTTGGAGTTTCTAAGAGGGGAGGTCCCCTAATGGTAAAGCCCCTGCACAGAGCAGGAGTGGTGACGGGGAGGTGGCAATCCCTCAGGTGAGGGAAGATCACTGTTTACTGGGGTTCACACCCAGACTGGTCAGCTCTTGACCCCTCTGTTATAACGCTTACTTAGCTGACCATCCTGCTGGTTAGACCCCTTAGACCCCTTGCTGCCACCACCCACTGGAACACCACAAAAAGGGGTTGGCTTGCGTTTCTGATGACTGGTTAACAATTTACCTCAGGTTTTAGGTTTGGGTTTTGCTTTGATTTTTGAATCGGCCTGATAAAAATACGTACAACCTCAGGGCTGCTCAGGTGGCCACCTGCTCTTACCAGGACCCTTATCTTCCTGCTGTGAGGTGGTGAGGATTCAGAAAAATACCAAATATTCCTCCTGAGAAACTGTAAGAGAGACTTTACATCCAAAAACTGTTTAAAGTTAACCTGTCTAGTTCTTGAACTGTCTGTTCTGGAAATGCTCACCTTCCTTTAGCAATATTTTATTTCCTTTAGCAATGATTTTGAATGAAATGTTTCGGTGCTTTAGTGAACAATGAGTATCTTTGCTATAATGGTTTCCAAATTAGGGGTGAGTTTATTTTATTTTTCATTTGTAGGAGCTGGAGGTGATAATTGGGGCTGTATCATAATGCAAACATCCCTCAGTCCTCAGTTACTCATCCAGGAGCCACCAGTGTGTCCCTGGACTTGGCTCTTTGTGGCATCCACACATTTGATGCCGCTTGAAGCCTAAGAGGCTGTTCTGCCCCAGGGCTCCCAGGGAAGATCCCCTCTGGCCACTGTCTGGGCTCCCTTTGTACACCCCACTCATTTCCCCTTCCCTTCCCATTCCCCTCACTTCTCCATGGGGATTCACTTTTGTTCCCACGGGCATGCCAACCAACTCTCCTTCCCCAGCGCTGGGGAGCCGGGCAGGCCTGAGCTTAAATCTGGGTTCTGCCATTAACGGATGAGAGACTTGTGGCAAGTGTCTTAAGTTCTGTGAGCCTCAATGTCTTCACCTCTAAAATGGCAGTGATAATATAACAGGCCTATGAGATGGTGGGAGGGACTCAGTGTAAGAAAGCACCAAGCACGTGCCTGGCATGGGGCAGGTCCTCAGTAAATGTTAGTTCCTGTGCTCATCAATGTTCTCCCCCCACCCTGCCAGCTCCTGACACAAGGCAGGAATTCGGTTATGCTACTTTCCTCCTGCTTCACATCACAGGGGCAGAGCCGTTTTTGTGCCACTTGTCATTTAAAGCCCAAATCAGCAAGGACTGTATTTGCTGTTTAACCATGTGCCATATTTCTAGTGACATTTTCTTTGTACTTGTTATCTTTCTTCCTAAAATCTGAAATTTTTCTTTTGTGTTAAGGAAGAAATAGTTTGTGTTCTTTTTCTGGGATTTCTTTTTTTCATTTTTGTGCAAGTAAAGGCAGATCCTCTAATTTGCATGTCACTGGATTAATTCAGAGATAAGACTTTGCCACTTCATTTTTATTCTTCACTGCGGTTCAAAAATGTTTTTCCAATGCCCAGTGTCTCGTGGATTATAAACATAATTTTACCGGAGGCAATTGGATGGCCCTTCGCATAGTACAAGTAAATTATGTTGGTTAACGTCCGAGGAACTTTGTTCTCTGTGTCTGCTTTGTAATCGTACCTCTTTGTGGCAGAGTTAGAGACATGAATGAGCATTTTAAAAAGGAGAGCAGCCCTTTCTTCTGGGAAGGAGAACGAAAGAGTCCCTGTAAGAAAAGTTTGCATGATCGAGTGGAAAATCAAAATCTGACAAAGAAGCAATAATTTAGGATTATAAAGCAAGCCTGCCATCAAACATAATTATGTGACATCTTCTCGAGACATGGAAAATGGAAGGTGTTTTCAAAAACGAGTGGGAGTATTATGGTGAAAAACATTATCGAGTAATAGCTTCAGGGGCCTAGTAAATAGCATTTCTTAGGCATCTTTTTTCATCATGAATTGGTACTCCTAATATTCTTCCCCTTATTAGACAGTGAGACTGTTTTCTTTCCTCTGGCAATGGGGCAATGCTACCAAGTAAATAAGAGTCAACATGCTTCTGTTTATTTCTTCAGGTTTTAAAACCATGTACAAATGACCTTTGGTCTATGCAGAACATATTTTCTTAATAAACTGTGGAACTTGATAATTTGTAAACTGCCTCTCATTTTAAATGCAATAAGGGAATTAACTTTTTAAAAGAATCAAATTATAAATGGATTTAAAAGCAGAGATTTCTTGGTATTTGCTTGTCATATGACTCATCGGTCATCCCGTATTCTTTCTGCATTATAAAATTGCAGACTCTGACACCTGGGCTGCTTACAGTGGGTTCCCCCTTGCACGTGGCTACAGGGCCTTCCTCCAGCAGTGATAGCGCGTCTCTGCTTCTCCCTGAGAGCTGCTCACACGGCGTAACTCTTGTACCTTCTCTCCACCCTACAGATTTTGGTATGACGAGAGATATCTATGAGACAGACTATTACCGGAAAGGAGGGAAGGGATTGCTGCCTGTGCGCTGGATGTCGCCCGAGTCCCTCAAGGATGGAGTCTTCACCACTCATTCTGACGTCTGGTATGAAAGACTCTTCCTGTAATGTGAGCCCAGAGCCCTCCAGCCTCCACCAGTCCCGCTGGCTCAGTCTCAAGGGCTTTATTTTTCTTCCATTTTCTATTCATTTGTTACCCCATTTCCAGCTTTGGCTAAGTGTTAGGTGGGCCACACTCCTTCATCATCGAAATGTTCCTGTTGTCCGTGGGTTACTAAGGACGGAGGGCATTTGTGGGATCTAAAGTATTTGCAGGATGGACACTTCTTTCAATCCTTAGCTGCTCAGTAAGTGGCCAGGAGCTCTTGAGACAGAATCCAAGGCGTCGGGACATGCCGGAAAACTTCACCTCTCTCTGCTTCTCCCCTACCTGCCTTCTCTCTTTTTATCTTTCTCAATAAATAGATACTGTGTGTGTGTGTGTGTGTGTGTGTGTGTGTGTGTGTGTGTGTCTGCGTCTGCCTGCCTCACCTAATTAAACCTTCAGATTGCCGACATTGCTTTATTTAGGCCCAAAGCTTAGGAATCTTGATGTGTTTTCCTGTTGGTCCCATCTGCTCTGTCCTCTTCAATGGGCACCATTGTTATTGACCCAGGGGTGGTACAGAAAGCACAATGTCTCCCTTAATAATAAAAGTCTCTTGGAGACAGAAAGCTTATCAGCTGGAGAGTGCAGAGGATTCTCAATAGTATTGGTTATTGCAATTTCTCAGCAACATCATGCAAAGGCAATCAGGTTCTGAAATACAACTGAGGTTCTTGGCAAGCTATGGCCCTGGCCTATCTACCTTCTAGAACGTCAGCTAGTTTCTTGGCTATCCTCTTGGGAGATCCCATTGCTGATGTGTTACAGAAATGGTAGTTGTTTACTCCAACTGTCTGGATGACCACATAGAGGAGCTATTTAAATAGTGACCGGCATCATTTTTTTTAACCTTGTGAACCTTTCACAATTCAAGGGACTTGGATCTTATTTTGAAGACAGGTGCAAATTGGAAATAGCATTTGAATATGACCCGGCAAAGTGTGATTGCTTCTTGAGCTCAAGTATGAGATCTGATTTGCAATCAGCCTGTCCAAGATGGTTATCTCTTTACTGTCAAATCAAAGTGCTCGACACCATTTTTAGACACAGAGATGATGGGAGAGGACAGGCCTGGGTCCATGCATGTATCTGTTTATTTTAGTCTCCGTGCCTCCAAAAGCTTTGAGGTCAGCTTGCAGTAAGATAAAATAGAAAATCATGAGAGCCAGGGAAAACAGAGGCAGGGTGGGAAAATAAAACTAGAGTTGTTAATATCTGACAGGCTAATTTTACCCAAATTTTGGTTAGCAACTATTGCGACAAGCAACAACAAAGGGACACAGAATTTTTAGTGCCAATTTCCTCCCGCTTGACTACACAGATATTATGAACCAATGAGAAAAAATAGACATAAACAAGAGTAGGCATTTGGTGTTCATTCCATTCAATGCTCAGGCATTGGCAGTGCTTTAGATTTTTTAGTTTTTAAACAGCCATGGAAGATAACACAGGTGGGGTTGGCCAGGACGTTGGAGAATGCAGAAGGTTTCTCAGCTGCCCGGGCTCCAAACTGAAGCTGGCCCTCTCACAGTAACAGAAATCATTTTAGATTGTATTCAATAGCACAGAAGATCATTCCTAAGTAGTTAAAATCTAGAAAGAAATGCAGAGAATTTGATTTTGTAGAAGATACCCTGGAATCTTAGGATTGGAAGGTGCCTCTGGGGTCAGCTCCAGACCCTGAATCCATCCCATCCGCAGCATCTCTGACAGCTTGTTGATGAGCTTCTGTTTCCAGAGACTGCTTATTCCTCCCTCACAAGGACAGGCCATCCTAATTCTTAAGACACCCTTATTCTTTGCAGGTCCTTCTCATGTTATGCTTAAGTCAGCCTCTCACTGACACCCCATTGGCCCTTCTCTCTGTAGCAGGATAGCACACCCTGCTCTGTTTTTTATAAGACAGGGCCTTGGAGTCACAAGCAAGTGGTGTCTTTTGTCTAGTTGGAACATCTCCAGATTTTCCTGCTGTCCTTCAAGACTTTATTCCAGATCCTTGGGCACTGTACCTGCTCCTTCTACAGTTCCGTTGTAGCACTCCCCTGGCAAATGGCTCTTGTTTGGGTTAGAAGACACAAGTGTGCCCTCTAGTCGTGGAGGAAATCAGGACTGAGAGGTGGGACGCACAGCTTAAAGGTGTGTTCCCTTCCTGGGCATCAGGATCACCCTACAAGTCTTCATTTTTCACAAAGAAGCTTTCCAAAAGGCCACAAATATCTAGGGCTGGTTTAGAGTTATTTGCTTCTTTAGTGGCTAATTAATATCAGTGGGAAATGTGGATCTCTCTGTAGGTTTCGACTTGCTGGTGGGTGGGAAACTGACATGAGACCGTCCTGGTATGGGGAGATGTAATTACTGAATGCTGACCCCATGCCAACCCCAGCCAGCACTGGCGCTGAGGTGAGACTCACACCGACTTGTCCCTTACTTGAGGAAAACAACCCCAATACTCATAATTAGAAAAGACTTCACACAAAGGCATTCGTCTAATGTTTAAAGATGAAATTTGTCCACAAAATTCAAGCCTTGGAGTTGCATGAAGGCATTAATACCAATGCTACACAGTAAGATACCTGCTATGAAAACACCTGGGTGTTGCATATTTCTCAGTGCCTCTGACTGGTTGTGTGGCCTTGGTCAAACCACAGGGCTTCTCTGGGCTTTGGTTGCTCCGTCTTTGAAGTGAGATCAGTTTAGGGATGTCTGCATTCCCTGTAGCTCTGTGGTACCTTGATAGATGTTTAAATGACTCCTGGAACAACTGGTGATCTAGGGAGGCACGTTGGTCTTAGGTAGAGATGGTTTAGCCTCCATACCTTGGGGCAGAAAAACAGTTGGACTTAGGTGGTCACATTGAGCTGTGAAGGAGAGCCAGACTCCAGCACTGTGTGGTCCTCCCTGACAGGCCATACTGACATTACACAAGCGTTGTTCTGGGGAAAGTGTTTGGAGAGAGCTGAGCCTGTTACCTGCTGGGTTGTTTTGTGTGTGATCATGAAAACCTGGTGTGACCCAGGCAGAGTGCTCAGTGTGTACAAGAACAGGGTGACTAGAGACACAGTCTCTGTCCTCGAGGGATGAGGTCCTGTGGAGAAGAAGCAACCCTGACAGGTTGGAATCACAGAAGCCTTCCCAGAAGAGATGGAGTCGTGGGGGTGCCCTAAGGTATGGATGGTCACCAGTGGAGCACTGAGGAAGCAGACTCCTGGCAGTGGGAATGCTGGGAAAGCCATGGCCGTAGGAAGCGCCTGCTGTACATGGGGGACGGTGGGACTTCCTTGAGGGAGTCAGGTTGAAGAGAGATCAAGCAAGGCCACAAATGTGTTAGGGTTTTGAGACTAATTCTGCAGGCTCTGCAAAGACTTTTAAGGCTTCTGAACAGGAGAATGACCTAGAGCTGTGTTTTAAGAAGTCCATGTAAGTTAGATTGTAAGGCTGCATTGAGTAAGATGTTGGTGGCAAAAAGGAAGAGTGCTGTAGGCCAAGTGAGGAGGACAAGCTGCCATAAGGAAGTGGTGGGGGGACAAAATGTGGGGGGGCCAGACCTTAGGACAAATCTGAGCCTGACTTGGCAAGCTGTGGTGTCAGTCTGAGGAGGCAGAGGAAAGGACCACCTCAGGTTAACTGCTCAGGTGGGGTGGGGCATCAACTGCAGTGAGGCCAGAGGAAGAACGGGGTTGTGAGACAGTTCAGTTTGAGATCTGTGAAGTTTGTGGATAGCCAAATAACTGGGAGCTTGAAATAGAGCAGTCAGGGCTGAAAGGGTCCATGTGGGAGCCACCTAGTGAGAATCGGCTGTTTGAAAGCAGCGGACATGGCCAGGGAAAGCTGGGGGAGCAAGAGGAGAAGTGGACCTGGAGGGAACTGCGTTTTTAGATTATTTCTCAGGTCAGGTCTGCAGTCAGTAAAAATAGCATGCTTGTCATTTCTTATACTGTACTGCATTTCAGATGTGAAGGTTGGGAGCTGCAGCCTCCAAGACGTGCTATTTATGTGACCAGGCCAATTTCAGTGTGCAGAGACCCCACTGCCAAAGTTGATGGAGAACCCGCTGCCCTCGGCCAGGCCTTTGAACGCCACACTTTGGCCTCTGGGTCTTTGGCTTTTCTAGGTCTCTTGTGCAATATAAAGACTATTTCTTGATTGGTAGAAGTTAAAAAGGACCTTGGGTGGGTCACTCCTCTGATTGCTAAGATTCTATTTATGGCTAACATCTGCTCTTAGTATCAATTTGTACAAAAACCCTTTTGTTCATGGAAGGTAGCTGAAGCAGTGAATAAAACATTCTGATATAGAGTCAGGGGCTCTCCTGGCTTGGGCTTCAGGCCAGGACCCCAAGAGCTCTCGTCGGGAAGGGCCCTGCCCCAGGATTTTCGGTGGGTTTCCCCATCACCCCTGGCCTCGGTGGGAAGCCCCTCAGGCTGCTTGCAGCTGAGCAGCTGCTTCATTCTGCGGAAATGAGTGGAAGCGAACAGGGCATGGAAAGGCCAATAGAAGGCAGGGAATTTGTGAAAGACAGCCATGTGTGTTGGGAAGGCACCTTTATTTTGCAGATTACAGCATTGACTTTTTAACCTTTATCTGTCTGAAATTTCTGTGTACGTGTATTATCTATTTTAATTTGTTTTCCAGTAGTTGGATCTTCTCAAACAGACAAAACTGCGTGGCACAGTTGCTCACTGCTCCGCCTGCTGACTGTATTCCTCCGTGGATCCCCTTTTCCCCTCAGCTAAACTCTATGCTTAAGGATCCTTGCTTGACCATGACACTCCAGCCAGGGCCGCAGTCCTCGAGGCCCCTGCCTGTGAGACTGAGCCCTTCACAGGCCAGTGGCTCCCCAGCTCCCGTGGGGCAGGCTGCTCTTCTCCCTGGCCCCACTGGACCTGTGAGATCCCTGACGAGCTTTTAGACACTCCAAGGTCCAGGCCCCACCCCAGACCGGCAAAATCAGAACTGCGGTCCGGGGCCTAGGCCTCAGTATGTTTTTAAAAACCTGCTAGGAGGTTCCACTCTGCAGCCAGTGTTGAGAGCCACTCGGGTAGAGGTTTCCAAAACTGGGAAGCTTGTTGAGCAGCTTGATTGTCCCAGGCTACATTTGAGGCCAGTAAATCACAGTTGTGGCAGGGCCTGGGGGTCTGCATTTTATCATTCTTGAGATAAAGCACATTTGGGAGACACTGCCCTGCCAAGTAAGCGGCTACACCTAGGCCCTGAACTCAGCCTGCCCGGCCTTCAAACAGAGATTGGTGCCTCCTAGCTGTTGAAGGGACCCTGGAAACTCCCTCCGCTCCAGCGTCCTCAGTGGGCCACCAGGGCTGCCTTTACTCTACAGGAAACATTAGTAGCAGCAAATGAGGATGGATAGTCCACACTTAGCCTGGTGTCTGGCACACTGTCTGATGTGTACTCAGTTGCACAAGGAGGGAAGTTTTTCAGGGCCCAGGAGAAGAAATGCTGAACAGGAGAGAGCAGCATGGTTCTGTCCATCGTTTCCAAGCACCTCACATTTCTTTTCTCCCTGTAGGTCCTTTGGGGTTGTCCTCTGGGAGATTGCCACGCTGGCCGAGCAGCCATACCAGGGCTTGTCCAACGAGCAAGTCCTTCGCTTCGTCATGGAGGGCGGCCTTCTAGACAAGCCGGACAACTGCCCTGACATGCTGTATGTATTTCCTGGACGCCCACAGCTCTCCTCGAAGTTTCCCTTCTCAGTAACTCTTTTCCTGGGTCACATAAGATGAGTCATTATGAGATCCAGCCTCTCTGGCCCGGTGGGTTCCGTGATAGTCAGGAGCAGTTTAGAAGAGGTTTATCCTGACGGAAGGAACCTGTGTCTTTGTGCAAGTACCTCAATTCCACCTCATCTTCCTTAATCCTTTAGTTCTGATTTGCAGTTTGCACTGCGGTTTCTCAGGCTAAATGTCTCTGTGAAATATTTGACCAAAGCAATCCTTACTTGCCTTCTCCAAGCAAAGTTTAAAAAAAGGTGACAACATGACACTGATTACTGTTAAGCCAGATTCCCGAGCCTCTCCCTAGCCTTTGGCAGGCCTGAGAGAGCTGCTGCAGCTGGCGTACACAAAGCTTTATGGCCAGGACTCCTTCGGCACCGCATAGGGTAAACCTCAGACCTCTTCCCACCAGCACTTCCAGCATATTGCCGCCGCAGTGGTGTCATTTCTTCTCTGTAATTCACAAACCATGTAAGTGACATGCTCTCTGGAGCTTCATCCAGTGATCCATGTGGACCTGGAACATGGTTCAGCTGACCTCCCTGCAGACACACCCCAGAGAAAGTGTCCGTGATGCCTTGTGGGCCTCACTGCTCCGCGTTCTTAGGAGAAGCCCCTCTGGTGATGGAAGTTGGAGCTGCTGAAGGTGAGAGGCCCTTGTTGTCTTTCCTGGAACAAGTCAGAGGAGAGTGTGAAGGTATTCTGTGGTTAGGTTGTCAGGTGAAGGACAGGTACAGGTGGGAATCAGTGGACTTGTTTTCGACATGCATATTAAAGCAGGGCTCAGAGATTCTCCTGGATCCTGATAGGCAGAAGGAAGGCTACCACTAGTACATCAAGACCAATTCAGGAATTTTCCAGAATTGCTTTTCTGGACAGGTTAGGCTTCACGTTGAAAAGGATCCCAGAGGAATTGTCGGGCTGTCTTTCTGTCTGTGTGGAAGACTTCCAGATCTGCATCTACCCATGGACCAAGCCTCGAGTGAGCACTGACTCAGGCTGAGCCCCACAGTGGTACGATGATTACAAATATGGCTCAGACACCATGACAAGTGGTACCAGGGAAATTGGTCCCAATAGCCATGAAAGCTTTGCTCATTTGGCCTCTCACAGTTTCCAGGGTCAGGAATCCAGACACAGATGTGCTAGCTGCTCAGCTCGGTCTCACTAGGCTAAAATCAAGATGTCGGCCAGGGCTGTGATCATCTGAGCCCCGAGGCCTCCCTCCTCCAGGCTCTTTCAGGTTGTTGGCAGGATTCAGCCCCTTGTGGCCATACGACTGAGGTCCTATGTTCTTGCTGGCTACCAGCCGGGGATGGCTCTCAGCTCCTAGAGGCTGAGGCCACTCCCCATCCTTGCCATATTGCCCCTCCATAGGGCTTCTCACACCAGAGCAGCTTACTTCTTCAAGGCCAGCAAGAGAATCTCTCTGCTTTTACCATTTTTTTACCTGATTAAGTCATACCACCCAGGATAATCCCTCTTTTGATTAACTCAAAGTCTGATTAGAAACCGAAATAAAGGAGTGAAATCCCATCATATTCATGAGTCCCACCCACACTCAGGTGAGAGGATTATCCAGAGTGTTTACACCAGGGGCAGGAGTCTTGGCGACCGTCTTAGAATCTGACTGCCAGAGCCTGGGAAGCAGAAGACATTGTCCTATCAGCAAACCAAAGTTTTGTTTTTTTCTAAAGCACTTTGAGTGTTGCTATGGAGACTGAGTCCCTAAGCCCCACGTAGAGGCGGTGGACCTTGCTCTCCTGGCTCTGACTGTGCTGGGCCCACGGGTTCAGGGGGACTCGGCACAGCACCCTTGTGCTTCAAGAGTCCATTAGCTGGGCGTTATACTTTTTAACTGCTGCTTCTGAAAGTATGTGCAGCCAAAGCCTGTTCTGTCCCGTGAACAGCTTGCACAGAATTAAGACAGAGGGCCAAAGACTGCCGCGGGGTGGACAGTGCTTGTGTGTGTGTGTGTCTGGGTGTGTGCGTGTTGGGGGCAGGGGGACTCACTGATCACCTGAGCCTAGGTCTGGACTAGGAAACCTGCATGTGTCCACTGACGGAAGGCCCCACCTCTCAGAGGGTAGTACATATTGGGGGGCACTGGGTTTCCTGGATCCCTCATCAAAAAACTTCCCATACAGCCTCTTTAGACTTCAGGACTCGAAGTTGCAAGAGACTCAAAAGGCCACTTGGTGCATTTTCTTGCCCAACATGGCAATTCTTCCTCTTCCCACCTGTATTAGTTTTTTGTATTACAGTATAACATTACCCAAACCTAATAGTTTAAAACAACAACAAGCATTTATTGTCTCACAAAGTTTCTGAAGATCGGGAATCCAGGAGCAGCCTAGCTACATGACTCTGGCTCTGGGTCTCTCGTGAGGTTGCAGTCTAGCTGGAAGCCAGGGCTGTGGTCATCTGAAGGCTTGTCTGGGGCTAGGATCCACTGCCAAGGTGGAGCACTCACATGGCTGAGCACCACGTGAGGCCTCAGTTTCTCTGTGACCCTGCTTGAGTGTCCTCATGCCATGCAGCTGACTTATGCTAGAGCAGGGCTCAGCAAACTTTTTCTCTAAAGAGACAGACAGTAAATATTTTCATATGAGCATGATTGTAGCTACTCAGCTCTGCTGTTGCAGTACAAAAGCAGCCATAGACATCGCGTGAACGAGCGTGGCAGTGCTCCAATAAAACTTTTTGAACACCGAAATTTGAATTTCACATGATTTTCATGTTGTCACAAAATCTTCTTATTTTGAATTTTTCCAACCATTTTCAAATATAAAAACCATTCTTAGCTCATAGGCCTTACAAAATCAGACAGCAGGCCAGGTTTGGCCCACAGGCCCATAGCTTGGCTACCCCGCCCAAGAGTAAGTGACTCCACAGTAGAGCAGAAGCCACAGTGTCCTTTATGGCCTAGCCTCAGAAGTGCACAGTTTCCACCATCTCCTGTGGGTTGCACGGGCAGACTGTTGGACATGGGAGGATATTACACGGGCTGTGAATACTAGGTGAGGCCCCCTGGGGTCTTGGAGGCTGGCTGCCAAACCCTGCTAACTCCCACTATTCTCACTCATGACTGCTGTTCACATTGAACAGTGTGGTCACTGTATTCTCGTCAGCCCGTTTTAAGAAAAGTCTTCCTACGGAGCGAAAATATAAGTAATGGAGTCTGAGGAGTGCTGCCCACTGAATTTGCATAAACTTGTGCCCTGCCAGAAGAGAGGCTAATACTAGAATCGGCAGTGTTTTATCAAGCTTAAAAACAGTCTAAGAAAGCAGGTGTGAGTTTTGTTTGTGTGGTTTGGGGTGGTGGGAGGAGAGGTATTGTGTTTGAGCTTTCTCTTTGACTCAGGTAAGCGTTTGTCCCTGAGAAACTTGTGGGACTCCTAAAGTTGATCCACCTCCAGGTGACTGGAGTTTTAATATTAATTTAATATGCCTGGGAAGCAGCCCACCTGCCATGGGAAAGGCAGTGTACTTCCTGTTCCCAGCATAGAGCGACAAGGAAACTTACATGGAGAGGTTACTCTTGAATATTAAATATTTATTAATTCAGGAGGCATTTCTGCTTTGCCCTCCAGAACCCCCTTGGCAAAGTGTTCTCCCTTCTAAGAAAAGAACAAAATGAAAGGAGGCAAGCTGGTTTCATAGGGAGTGTCTCTGTTGTCCTTGTGGATTTATTGATGAGCAGCTTAGGTAAGAAGCGTTCTGGGAGATGGGTTCTCATGTTACAAGAGATGAAAGAATGGACTCTTGTTTCTCCCAGAGGGGGAGAAAGTTAGCGAGCCCTTGGGAGTTGCCTGAAAGCCCTGCTGGGCCTCCATGTGGGAGAGAAACCACTTTGATTGTGTTGTTCCAGAGGTCTGAACAGGCACCCACAGGGTCACTAGGGGTGGGGTGTGCAGTGGCTGCTGGGAGTTGTCAGCTCAGCATCAGGAAGATGCTTCAGCTATTCTGCGATGCCTGCAAGAAGGTGAGCAGGCTCCTCCGAAGTAGCCAGTAATCCCCATCCTCTCACTAGCATGGAGTGCTCAGCTTTAGAGGAAAAGCTCCGTGGTCCAAGCCACAGAGAGTCCAGGCTTGTGAGTCTCAACACCGAGACTCCGTCTGAATTAATTTAGCAAGCGGCATGAGATCAGATTCAGCTTGTGGTCCGCTGGTGGATCCGTATTTTAAATTGACGACAAAGCCTGTCCTTCAACTTCTCTTACGCTCAGGTCTCCATATTTACACCACAAATGCCCTCTGGGTGCATGCTGACTGCTGACATCCTGGAGACAAGGGTGTAAGGAGTGGTCCCAGCTTTCACAAAGTCTAGTGACTGGAAGGACTGAATTCTAATGCCGCGGGAGAAGGGCTAGAGCAGAGATGTGCACTGAGCCATAGACCTCAGGCCAAGAAGCCGTATTCTCTGCAGCTAACACTTCCACAATATCACACGTCAAGACCCTTGCCAGGGAAGTCTTCAGTATGCTGCATTCAGGAAAGAATTTGAGCCTGTTAGCCCAGAGAGTCATCAACTGGTAGCTAAGTCTAAAACAAACTCAGCAGACTCTGGTTGCTTTTGCAGTTTTCAAACATGGTTTTTCCTGTTGCTGACTAAACCCCCACATGGCTCGGAATCCTGTGCTGGTTTTGTGGGAATTGAGTGCTTGAGTAGGATCCAGACAGTCAGGAATGGCCACTCCTGTCCAGTTAGCCTTGCGATGGGCTTTCCCGTGGTGCTGGGGCCCTGCGTCTGAGCTCTGCCCAAAGTCAGAGTAGCATGGGGTGAGGGGTCGGGCAGGCCCCACTGTCCCACTGCCATCCTGGTTGAGAAGTGGTTCATAGATAATCCTGGCTGTTCAGGGCTGCTGGGAGGAGGTGGAGGAGGGCTGCACCGAGCCCTGCAGGTCCTTTCCCGAGTCCGGTCTCTTTGTTGTGACCGTCGTCCCTTGGACTGCAGCTGCGCTCATGCTCAGGTGCTGGGCTGCATGCACATCTTGGCGTATGACCACAAACTGCCTGCACACAGTGGGCCGAGGGTGGGGGGAGTACGGAGCACCACAGTGTGCAGCATGGAGTGGACAGTACAATTGGCCCCCTTTCCTCATACCCCTATCATCCACCTCCTGGGGTCACATGTCTCTGTTACGCTGCTTCATCGCAGGGCAGCAGCTCCATGTGGTCTTGTTCCCACCCCAGGTGAAGGGCTGTGTGCATGCACCCCCCGCCCACACAGGCGCAAGGGGGTGGCATTCAGTCAAGGACTGCTCCAGCTCACCAGACCTGACTAGTTGTAAAAAATGTGCTTTTTAAAGAGGACTTTTATCAGCTCATAAATCCCTCTAGAGTCTACTGGAAAGTTTTCTTGTGGCGATAGTGTAAACAAGGTCTTGAATCCCACAGAGTAGAAAAGACTTCCTTTTATGGACAGCACTGGAAGGGCTATGACTTTGGAATGGTTTAAAAGCAGTGTCACGTGGCTTGTTTGTGCTGATGTCACTTGCATCACTCCCCTGCTGGTGGCACCTCCTCAGCCCTGGGCCAGGGGGGCACAGAGCCAGGACACATCACGTGTTCTTGGCCCTGGCTGCACTTCTATTCAGGGATAAGTTAGTCAGCCAGAGAGGAAATCGCAGCTGAGCCATAGACAGGGGTTTCATGCAGTTATGGCCCTTTTTAATTTACTTTTTGGGGGGGTCCTTTTTCATAGGAAGTGATGGTGGGTATAGGACGGAGGCTTGTTTGCCCTCTGACCCAAGGAGGAGCTGCCAGTTTATCACTGCAAACACCCCACAAGACCTGTGGCTGTCAGGGGACAAGCAGGAGAGGGAGGGTCTCCTGGTAGGACCATGCTTTCTCTTTTTTAGGTTGAGAGAAAATTCCTTTTTCTGAGGTAGGTGGTATTCGAAGTGTTGTTTCACAGAGCACTCCATCCCAGCTCCACCCTCACTAGTTTGGGAACCCAGAACAAATTATTTAATCTCTTGTTACTTCTGCTTCCTCATCTACAAAAAGGGGGATATATACCATACCCTACTCCGAGACTTGTGGGGAGTAGAGCAGTTCACACACACTCACCCCTGCTGCTGGACACCCAGCACGTACCACTGAGAGCACTCACGGAACGTCAGCCCTGCACGTGGTTGGTACCATGGCCTAGACGGACGTGGTTCCATTGGGAGGGGAAAAAACTAGTCAGTCTTCATGTTTTGTCTCATTCTTCTTCCGCTAGAACAGGGGTGGCAAACTTTTCTGTCACGGGCCACACAGTAAATATTTTGGGCTTGTACTCCAAATGGTCTCTGTTCCAACTATTCAACTCGCAGTTGTAGCTAGAAAGCAGCCGCAGACAATCTGTGGCTGCTCTCAGATGGGCGTGGCTCTGCTCCAGTAAAACTTGACTTACAAAAACAGGCAGCAGAACAGACAGCAAGCAAGCCTCTCTCCCATCCCCTCCCCCCACGGCCACACCCGCTTCCATCTGACTTGACCAGACACCTTCTTCCCATTTCTTTCAAGGCGGCTGAACAGGTGGCATAGGAGCTTGCCCTTTGCAGGCCGGGTTCTGTGACCCACGGGCTTCTACCCTTGGAACTTTCCCTGGGGCCAGACGTAAGCAGGTGGTCTGTGGGTCAAGTGATCAGCCTGACAGAAGGCTGGAAGCCAACCTGGGGTGCTCTGAGCTTCCTAGATATGAGGAGTTCCAGTTGGCCATTTTTATTGAAAAACATCTCTTTAGCTAGAAGTTTTAAAACAAAACAGGATAGAATTTTCCAGCAAGAACAGAAGTAGAAGGAAGGCACTTCGGTTTCAAGCTCACGTGAGAAAGGGCCACTGGCTGATCCCTTGTCAGAACCATGGCCTCTGTGTTCTGTGGCCAGCCTGGGCGTTGGCTCATTCGCTCTCCTGTTTACTTCAAAGGTCCACTTAGCTGGATCGCTCTGCATTCTGTGTTAATAAGAAGCATCCCCTACTCCCATAGGCATTCTGAACCCTTGACAAAGACTAGGCCGTTCCTGGGTCCAGACAGCTGACTGCACCAGCAGCGCCATGCCTCCTTTCTTCTTCCATATGTGGCCTCCTACTCTCTGGGGGGCTCAGTCCCATTGCCGGGAAGACTCCTGGTGCCCCATGAGACTCCGAGGGCTTCACAGAGGTTTGCAGCCCAAGTGCCATCAGGGCCCAGCTGGTGAGATGCAGGCTTAGCATGGGCTCCACACTGTTCTGCCTGTCCCTTGCTGGCGCAGAGACTCTTGTACAGGGCTCTCCTTCACTGCCTTATCGCCATCTGGCTTCAGGTCTTCACTGGGAGGACCTCTTGCTCAGTTCAGCACAGCCTGCATCAGAGGCCGGGCTCTGCCACTCTGGGGCACCAAGCCAGCAGCCTTCCCCCCGGGGTGAGACAGAGCCGGCAGACTTGGAATGGGCGCACCTCCCGTCCTGCGGTCACGCTGCCTTACACTGCCTCTTCCTCAGGTACTCTGCCAGTGGTCCCCTGCCACCAGGAGGAAGCTTAGAAACAGCATAGCTGGAGTTAAAAGAGAAATCACTGTTGGGAAAGCTCTGATCACTCCTCAACCTTATTAGTTGAAGAACCAGAGGTTTCCTGCATTCTAATTCTGGAAATAAGGTTTAATAAGTGGCTGCAAGAGATGCTTCAAATAGAAAGCTGGGTTTGTTGTTGTTTTTTTCTTAGCACTGTCCCCATAAATAATCTGTGCGATAACAGGCCCTGTGAGCGTAGATTTGTCCTTCCCAGGAAATGAGAGTTTGGGTTTTGTACTGTGCAGGGTCTTAGGTCCTGGGTTCTGGGAGAGGTGGATCCAGTGGTAGGACATAAGTCAGGAGAAGCTAAAGCCTTCTTGGGCCATCAAGAAGGAAAGCCAGAGACTCAGAGAAGCAGCAGAACTGTTTTCAGTGCTCTCGCTGTACGCATATAGGTGGGAAAACCACAGCAAGTGGCCCCGGAGGCTGCTTGGCCATGTACACCATTCCAGGTCCGGCCCATCCTCTGTCTGTCTTCACCTCAGGTTTGAGCTGATGCGCATGTGCTGGCAGTACAACCCCAAGATGAGGCCTTCCTTCCTGGAGATCATCAGCAGCATCAAGGACGAGATGGAGTCTGGCTTTCGGGAGGTCTCCTTCTACTATAGCGAGGAGAACAAGCCACCCGAGCCAGAGGAGCTGGACCTGGAGCCGGAGAACATGGAGAGTGTCCCCCTGGACCCCTCCGCCTCCTCGTCCTCCCTGCCGCTGCCCGACAGACACTCAGGACACAAGGCCGAGAACGGCCCAGGCCCTGGCGTGCTGGTTCTCCGAGCCAGCTTTGATGAGAGACAGCCTTACGCGCACATGAACGGGGGACGCAAGAACGAGAGGGCCTTGCCTCTGCCCCAGTCTTCGACCTGCTGATCCTTGGATCCCGAATCCCGTGCAGACAGTCACGTGTGTGCACGCTCGGCGGGTGGGGGGAGAGAGTTTTAACAATCTATTCACAGCCTCCTGTACCTCAGTGGATCTCCAGAACTGCCATTGCTGCCCACGGGAGACGGCTTCTCTGCAGTAAACACATTTGGGATGTTCCTTTTTTCAATATGCAAGCAGCTTTTTATTTCCCTACCCAAACCCTTAACTGACATGGGCCTTTAAGAACCTTAATGACAACACTTAATAGCAACAGAACACTTGAGAATTGAGTCTCCTCACTCTCTTTCCTTGTCTCTTCTGTCATCTCTCTCTCTCACCCCAGTCTCTCTGGTCTCTCTCTCTGTCTCTCGCCTCTCTCATGTCTCTTTCTCACACCTTTCTCTTTCCTTCTGCTTCATAATGGAAAAACATTTGCCGCAGACCCAGCCAGGACACCCTTTTTATCAGATTGAGGAAATAGTGTCCTCCCTGTGGCCCCACATTGCCCCTGTACACACCTGCCTGTCACCGTAGGTCTTTATAAAAAACATGTTGAGACGGAATTTTTTAACTATATCTCTCACCTTTTTAGGGACATGAAACTTAAAAAGGGCCATCATTCATCCAAGGTTGTTACCATTTTAACGCTGCCAAATTCTGCCAAAACCCTGAACCTTCTCCCTCACAACCCCTGCACTTGTTTTCTTGTTTCCAGAGGCATGGGGCGAGCATGGTGTCTGGGCCCTCCGTTTAAGCGCCACGCTGGTGATGCACTCCATCTGATCATCCCCTGGTGTTCTGTTCAAGTCTCGCGGTCACACAGGTCTGATTGCTTCTGACTAGGTTATGTTTTGGGGGAACTGGACAGAATGGGACTTTCTCTCAGTGAAGACGGGGAGAAGCTGAACTGGCTTCCTTGCCCCACCTCCTCACCCCCACCTTCTAGCCCCAGGAATTCTGGAGAAAACAGGCCCTGTCGAGAGCCTGGAAGACAGGCTCTGAGTAAAGGTCGCGCACGTGCCAGTCTCCTGTCCCCGCCCCAGCTCCCCTCCCAGCCCCCAAGGACACAGATGGGAAGGGGTTTCCAGGGACTCAGCCCAACTGTTTATGCAGGTTTGCAAGGAAAGAAATTCAAACACCACCACAACAGTAAGAAGAAAAGCAGTAAATGGATTCAAGCATTCTAAGCTTTGTTGACATTTTCTCTGTTACTAGGACTTCTTCATGGGTCTTACAGTTCTATGTTAGACCATGAAACATTTGCATACACATCGTCTTTAATGTCACTTTTATAACTTTTTTACGGTTCAGATATTCATCTATACGTCTGTACAGAAAAAAAAGCTGCTATTTTTTTTGTTCTTTATCTTTGTGGATTTAATCTATGAAAACCTTCAGGTCTACCCTTCTTCCCTTTCTGCTCACTCCAAGAAACTTCTTATGCTTTGTACTAGAGTGCGTGACTTTCTTCCTCTTTTCCCAGTAATTGATACTTATATAACATAATTTGCCATGAACTGTTTGATGCCTTTTGATAAATACATCCTCCCCTCCCCCCAGCCCCACCCCGTCAGTTCTGTTCTAACCCGTAGGCTCTGTGGGCACGAGGCTGGTGAGGGAAGGCGGTGGGCAGAAGGCGGCGCCGCCCCTGGGGCCACAGTCCCGGGGTGCCACACGCCCCTACTCAGCCTGCTCTCACATAGCATTTGAGTCTGTTACAGTGCAAGACATGATACAAACTCAGGTCAGAAAACAAAGGTTAAATATTTCGCACATCCTTGTTCAGTGTTGATAGTCACCGTTGTTGAAAAGCCTCACCTTCTCTTTCCCTTGCCTTTGTTCTGGTTGTGACACACATCTATCTATTTTTTTAATTCTTGGGTACAACAGCAGTTTTAACTGCAGACACTAGGTATTTGGATTACTTTTTTTTAATGGATATTTAATCCTTCCATCCCATGAAAAACAGCTGCTGAGTCCAAGGGTGCAGCGGAACGTGGTCCAGCGAGCCCCTCTGTGGCCTTCCGCCACCACCCTCCAGACCGACCTACCTGTCTTTAGAACCTGAAAATCCCCAGGGTCCTCCCTGGCACTTGCGGGGAGTGAGGCACAGGGGCGCATCCTCGGGGTGTCAGCAAGCCCACCGCCCAGTCTACCGGCCTGAGGACCAGGTTGGGGCAGTGCGGGCACCAAAGTGGCCGAGGAGCCCATGCTCACTCCCAGGGGACCAGAGCCCTGGCGCTGGCGCGCTTTTCCTTGGCCAGGAGTCCAAGTCCTCGGCCCGGGGGTCTTGTTTTGTTTAGTTTTTAGCACTTCTCACCAGAGTGATGACAGCACAAGAGTTGCTTCTGGGATGGAAATGTTTATGAGTAAGAACAAAGTTAAAATACAGTGATTGCTAGTTGTGACTGGAGATTAAACACAAAAAAGGAAGTTTGTAGTGCTTTTTTGCTTGTCAGTAGTTTCAGTCCCACGATTTTCTCTAGCCTCTGTGCCATAGTTTTTCCCTTTAAAAAAATGAAAAAATGAAAAAAGAAAAAAGGTAATTAAGAAGGAATTATATGTAGGAGTTTTCTTTTAATTTATTTTGTGATACCAGTTTCAATCACTGTAGAGAAGCCCCATTATGAATTTAAATACTGAGAAAAGGGTTTTTGTGTGTGTGTGCGTGTGCGTGTAAGACAGGACAGTTTTTGTTTTTTTGTGTTGTTTTTTCCCCAAACATTTATCTACCTCACTCTTATTTTTTATATGTGTATATATAAAAAGAATACATCTCACATTTCTCAGCACCTGACAATATGCCGTTGATACTGGTAACCTCATCCACACCACAGGCCGCACGCACCAGGTGAGGCAGGGAGAGGCCAGGCTGCGTCGGGGGCGGAGCAGCACTCACTCCCTGGGCTCCTCGCAGACCGCTTGCCTTCGTCTGAGATGTCTTGTTTTGCGTTGCTTTTGTTCTTCTCCTACCTTGTTTCCTAGAGGCTGTGAGGCGTTAGGATCCCCTCCCAGCTGGCCCTTGCCTGCTGTGAGGGGGGCGCGCCCAGCACGCAGTGGAGGCCTCCAGCCGGCCCAGGCTGGTTGTCTTTGAAACCAACTACTTTGTGCAGATTGAATGACGAACATATTCCATCATTGGAAGAGCAGTGGTGACCCAGGTTTTGAGGGTAGGAAGTGCCCGGGGGCAGACAGTCGCTGTTGGAAGCCCACTTGGCAGTGTGTGGGTTTGGTTTGCAGCCCTAGCCCCGGCCTGTGCCCCAGCAGGTTCACGTCGGCCGGGCACCGTGTCAGCACTTTGAGAGCTCGGTCCGCCAGGCCTTCTGTTCAAGAATGCAGAGGTTCCTGACCTAACAGCCAGTCCCACGTAGAATGTACAGAGGACAAAAGTCCCCTTCTCTCTCTCCAGACTGTTCTCCAACACTACCCTCACCACTTCCTCCCCCAGGGGAAAACAAAGATGTACCAAACCTTTGGGCTGGAAAGGGCTGGTGGTCGGCACAGAGCCTCCTTCTGGGGTGTCACGCCTCCCGCCAGGGCTGTGCCTCCATCCCGCTGTCCTGCTGCTCACAGGGGTGGATGGTGCCTTCCCCATTCCAGCAGCTGCTCTTACAGGCACTGGTGATTTTATCTGGGAAACATGGTGGGGGTTTTCCCAAAGTGTGGATGGCTCCTTTAAAGTTCCAGTACTGCAGTTAAGCTCAGGAGCATTTTCCCTCCTGCAAGAATACTACTCTCCTTTCCCAAGTCCCCTGGGATCGTAAGGTCATTGAGAAATACTGTTCGATCAGGGTTTTCTTCTTCCACACTGTAGGTGACCCCTTGGAATAGTGGCCTCTTCTCTCTTTTGCACATACCTACCGGTTTCCACAACTGGATTTCTGCAGATCATTCAGCTGGTTATAGGGTTTTGTTTAAACTGTCCGAGTTGTTGGTGTCATTTTGTTTTTGTTTTATGTAGGTGGTTTTTCTTTAAATAGAAAGAAAACACTAATAGCATAGTGCCCATCATAACAAATGCTTCAGAAACACTTAAATAAACGCGAAAATGATGCTTGTGTGATGGTGCAGTCATTTTACTGGACCAAACCACCCACCTTGACTATACCAAGGCATCTCTCCACAGTTCTAGCCTAATTTTATGCTCATTTCCCCACCTCTTCTTGATTTTTCTCTTTTGTATGCTCCAAATAATTTAATCTAGCTGAGTTGTGGCATTTTCCATGCAACCTCCTTCTGACAGCAGCTCACACTGCTTGAAGTGACATGAACCACTGAGGCACATCATTCAATTGATGTGAGCGTTAAAACATTATCACACACAGCCCTTCCCTGAGGCAGCAGGAGCTGGTGTATTCTGGAGACATTGTTGAACTGCAGCTGTGTGAGACCCCGACCACCCCAGGTCTCCTTTATGGGATGTTGTGACATTTGATACACAGTTGGAATGAGCTTTCCTCCTTGAAGATAGAAGACCGTGTTCGTGGCCAACACTGGCCTCTCCTTCCAGCCTGTTTCGTATGACTCGGAACAACACTGCAATGGTAGGAAAAGTGGCTTGGTAAAACAGAAAAGTGGTTATTGTGGAACTACCCAATGGTAAAATACTTGGCATGAAGTCATGTGTTTCAGTTGGGATAACAGATTTACAAGCCAAGTATGATGCCAAATTCTAGGCCAGTGTGTTCCACCGAAGCGTCTTTCTCAGCAGCCCACCTCTGGGGTGGCAGGTGGCTGTACATGATACAGGCCGCTGTTGTGGCAAGGTCACACTAGCTCAGATCGGTGAGAAGGCTAGGATGCTTGGTCCAAGGTCCTCAGCTGTCACTGTTGGGTCCTCCCAAGGTGGCCAGACAGTGTTGAAGGCAACTCCTTTCCAAAACGTAGGCACCCTCCAGTTGACAGTAATGCTCCATGGTATGCCTTGGCCCATTCCAGCAGTCCCAGTAATGCATTTAAAGTTTGGGGTTTGTTCTTTTGTTAATGTTACTTTTGTGTTTGTCAGCTGTCTTTTCATTTCCTGGGCTAAGCAGCATTGGGAGATATGGACCAGAGATCCACTCTTTAAGAACCAGTGATGAAAGTCAAACTTTCTTACTCCCCTCTGACGTAGTTGGTGGCACAAATGAGAACTTCGAGAGAGGATGTTGTTAGATTGAACCTCTGTTGCCAGAGATGCTGAAGATACAGACCTTGGACAGGCCAGAGGGTTTCATTTTTGGCCTCCAGCTTAGATGACTAGTTGGTCATTTAGAGAAAAAGCAGATGAACACTCCTTGATGGTGGAATGATCAGGCAGTAGGAAACCATTAACGGGTCATGACACGACATGAAGAGAAGAATTGCGAGCAGAAGGGTACAGGGCTTGGAAGAAGTGTGGGCCATGTTCTGAACTTGATGGTTTCTGAAGGTTTCTGAAGGTGTTTCAGACCACATCAAGGCTCAAGAGTCATCCGTGGGCGTTTGGTTTCAACAAATAAAACTAACATCCTACTTTGGAAACTGTTATCGCGGAGTTAAGTCAAACTGTTCAAGAACTCGAACTGCATCACACCTGTCAGTTGTCAGTTCTGGGGCATGACTTTTAGAGTTTTGTTTTATTTTGTTTATGCAAGAACATAATGATCACTCATCTGTATGTCCACGTTTGTGTGTGTCCACATCTTTCTGGTAAACATTGTTTTAATTAGTCACTCATTAGCGTTTTCAATAGGGCTCTTAAGTCCAGTAGATTACGGGTAGTCAGTTGACGAAGATCTGGTTTACAAGAACTAATTAAATGTTTCATTGCATTTTTGTAAGGACATAGAATAATTTTATAAAATGTTTGTAGTTTATAATTGCCGAAAATAATTTAAAGACACTTTTTTTCTCTGTGTGTGCAAATGTATGTTTGTGATCCATTTTTTTTTAGGACACCTGTTTACTAGCTAGCTTTACAATATGCCAAAAAACGATTTTTCCCTGACCCAAGACGTGGTTCACCCTCTTTTCTCCCATGCTTTGTGCCCTAGTTTATAACAAAGGAATGATGATGATTGCGGTAGTTCTGTATCTTCAGTATCTTGGTCTTCCAGAACCCTCTGGTTGGGAAGGGGATCATCTTTTACTGGTCATTTCCCTTTGGAGTGTAGCTACTTTAACAGACTGAAATAACCTCATTGGCCAAGGAAACAGCAGAGGTGCTGCAGTGCAGCGGCGCCCAGGGCGCCACTGAGCATCTGGTCTGGTAGCTCTGGCATTTGCCATTGTTGCGCGATGCCTGGAGATGGAACGACTGGACCGCACAGCTAACGGTTTGCCCAGTGACCGCCGCACACAGACTTAGCACACAAAAGAGGATAATTCTGGTGCACGCAGGCCGTTTGCCTACATGCCCTGTATCATGATCAATGCTTTGTTAAAGCAAGGAAGAGACCCTATTTATTTTTATTTAAGGCAGAACACCGAAGATACATTTTTCCAATACAAAACAAGTTCTTTTTAATAAAAACTACACAAAAGTTTTTTTTGTTTGACTCCATTTCCTCTAGCTCCCAATGGATTGTTGGCCATGTTCTACACAACTCCACAAAATCCCCATCATTGGAAACATCTGGATGTTTTGCACTATATGGGAGAAAGGTCCAGAAACAATTTGGTTTTTGTTTTCAATTTTTCATTCGGATCTTTGGCGTTGCGTAGACACATCCACAGGTGGAATAGATGCTTGGCAAAAACACCTGTCTGCTTTCTAAGCCAGTGAGGTTGAGGTGAGAGGTTTGCCAGAGTTTGTCTACCTCTGGGACAGAAAAAAATCAAACCAGAAGGCGCGATGGAATGGATGCATCGCAAATAATGCATTTTCTGAGTTTTCTTGTTTAAAAAAAAAAGTTTTTTAAAAAAAGGAAAAAAAAAGGTAATAACATGGCCAATTTGTTACATAAAATGACTTTCTGTGTATAAATTATTCCTAAAAAAAATTCCTCTGTTTATATAAAAAAATCAGTAGATGAAAAAAATTTCAAAATGTTTTTGTATATTCTGTTGTAAGAATTTATTCCTGTTATTGCGATATACTTTGGATTCTTTACATTATGAAAAAAAGAAACTTTGTCTATTTTGAATGGCTGAAGCTAAAGCAACTTTAGTTTCTCTTACTCTGCTTTTTTCTAGTAGTTAAAGTACTACATGGTTTAAGTTAAATAAAAGAATTCTGTATGCATTTTTGGTCTCTGATTCTGTTCCCCCCTTTCTGGAAGAATCAGCACACTTCTGAGGCTGGGAAGCTGAGCTACGGGTGGCATTTGTGTTCACACATGTCGCTCGGAGGTGTTCCGTGTGAGACTCTGCTTGCTTGCTGACAGCTGAACCTTCTCAGCATGCAAATTGCTGGTGAAGTCAGGGAAGATATTCTGTTTCTGACTCCATTAAATCAGCTAGGAGAAAATTTGAATACATAAAATACAGAAATCTGTATTTCATTTTTGACTGATTTGTAGACTTTTCCTATACCTTCCACTGACTAAAGGCAGGCCAAGGCAGGTTTGATCTGGGTGACTGGGGCAACGACTTAAAGTCTTCACGCTTCCTTGTCCTTGTTGGTACCTCATGGCCAGTGCACCTCCTCAGAGGGTGCCAGTGAGAACCGCGGACGGGCACCAGGATGCGGCTCCCAGGAGGTCCTCAGAAATGTTACTTACTTTCTGGCTGATGCTCTTGGCCTGCCCCAGGGCCTCCAGAATCCAAGCATCATTATCTTTGTCAGGGAGAAATGGTTATGGTAGGAAATGTAAATTATATGTTCAAAGGAAACAAGTTGTGAATGTTCTAGAATCACCCCAGAGATGCTTAGACACATCAGGAGGACAAAGTGATCATTCACTAAACTTTGATCATGGGAAATTATACTCCAGTAAAAAAATGAGGCCCCCAGATAAAGGGCTAAATGACAAGGGTGGGCAGTAGCCAGAAACCAAAGGCCATGCTTACCGAAGACCTGTGAGTCTCATGAGGATTTGGACCTGAAAACAAAAGGCCTAAGAGGGTGCTCTCTCAAACTTGATGTTGCCCCAGGGTGTCTGCTCACGCTTGTCACAGAGTGCCTGGCACTCGGGAGTCACTAGATGACCGGTGACTAAAGGCAGCTCGTTTCTGAGGCTCAGATGGATGTCTGGGCTGCGGGTGGGGTGGAAGCAGGAGTCCGGTGTGGCCCTCCCACGTTCCTGGTTGGTTGACGCCGCACGTCCTGATTGCCATGGTGTGTTCCACACTTGTCCTCAGCCAGAAGGAGCAGCAATTTCTCTTGAGGCTGAAGGTGCTGGGTCTTTCGAAGTGTTAGAACCTCTCCCCACCGTGCCACTTCTTAAGACCACAAACCCAGCAGGGCTATTGCTATATTTACCCTCACAGGTCCAGCTACCAGCCCATACTCAGGAAGCTGTGTATTTTTATAGTGTTCTCTCATCGCTGACTGACTTTCACATCCATTCTCTCCCTGGATCTCCACAACAACTCTGCAAAGGAAGCATTTTTATTACTCCGTTTTATAGACAGTAAATACACAGACATGCTCAAGACCCCCCAGCTATTAAATGTCCAACTGAGGGCTCAGCCTTTTGAAGCTGTGTCAACTTTCAAACTGACTCAGAACTGCCGCATATCAACCATAACTAAACAGACCCCAGTGTGTATCAACAGGGGATGGCAGACCACTTAGACTAGCACGTGAACAGGCCCTCTGGAGTTCTTCGTAAAGAACTTTGGAGGCCACAGAGGGGGCGATGACGGGGACATTCATCAAGAGGGAGGTCTGGGCCTCCCACCTGGATGACTTCTAAAAGTTTGTAAAATATGTATGATTTGGCACTAATCAATTTGAAATAACACTGGAGCCAGGTCCCAGAGGCCCCCTGCTTGCCACTGTCCTGAGACAGGAGTTAGAAGAAGGGGGATCCAGGGCTCTGGGTAGCAGGTGTTTGCCTACAAATATAGAAGACTCTCCACATTAACAACCGTGCAGCCGGACCCACGCATACTGCCCAGACCATCCCACCCCACTTGCTGGCTTTGATCTGCTACACTGTGACTTTGATCTGTTTTATGTCAAGTGAGCCAGTTTAATTTGCAAAGGGAGTCCTGTAAAGTCTACTCCAAAGGCACAAGTATGCTGAAGGGCTAACGGCAGGACAAGCAAGGCCTGCCCAGTTCTTTTGTTACTAAGTTGAAGATGCTTTCTCTTACAGTGAATGAATCTGGGCACTAAGTGACAATGATTTTTTTAATGTAATTAAGTGGGAAATGATAGTTGAGAGCACACCAACGTAACAAGAAATTTCCCAGAGCTTAGCCACCTTCAACCCCTTCCTCTAAAGAACAATGTTGCTAATGGGGTTCCCAATAGAAATTTGCCCCCAGAAAACACGGGACAAGCAAAACCTTGCTATGACCACCTTGGCACAAGACCCAGTACAGTGGCATACAGGCAAAATGAAAGATGCAGAGGGGAGATTCTGTTTCTAAAAAGTTGGGGATAGTACTGACCATGGCAGAGAAGCTAAACCTAGCTATTGACCTTTGCTTTAAGACCAAATGCTACTGGTCAGAATACAAAATGGTATAGCTGCCATGAAAAAGAGTATGGCAGTTCCTCAAAAAATTAAACATAGAATAACCTTATGATTCAGCAATTCCACTTTTAGACATATACACAAAAGAACTGAAATCAGGGACTCTAACAGATATTTGCACACACCAGTGTTCCAAGTAGTAATATTCACAAGAACCAAAAGGTGGAAGCAACCCAGAGTCCATGAAAAGGTGAGGGGATAAACAAAATGTGGTCTATACATATGATGAAATATTATTCAGCCTTAAAAAGGCAGGAAATTCAGACTCATGCTGCAACGTGGATGAACCTTGAAGACATTATGCTGAGTGAAATAAGCCAGTCACCAAAGAACAAACGTGATCCCGTTTATATGAGGTCCCTAGGGCAGTCAAATTCAGAGATGGGGGGTAGAATAACGCTTGCCAAGCGCTGGGGGGAGGGTGGGGAGAAAGACTGTCTAGTGGGGACAGAGTTTCGGTCTGGGATGATGAGAGTTTTAGAGACAGATGGTAGTGATGGGTGCACAAGTTAATGTACATAATGCCACTGAACACTTCAAAATGGTTTAAATGGTAAATTTTATGTTTATTTTACCACAATTTTATAACAAAAGAAAAACCAAACACTAGAGACTCAGTGGCTCAGAAGCTGTCCACAGCACCTGCATGCCAGAGCTCGGAGGCCAGGAATGGGGCGCTCGAGTGGTAGCTACATATGTGTTTCCCCATGGCCAGCTGAGCATGGATCGACTCAACACATGGGGCTCTGCAGAACAGGTCCGTGGTTCCTGCAATCTGGGCAGGACCACACAGGCCCGCTGCATGGTCTTTTAAGAGAAAAAAGAAAAATTACTAGGATTTCATTTTATTGTCTTGAAAACCATAACTGAAGCTAGTTAATCCCTTGTGAAATGTCTGCCTTTCAGAGTGTTCTTCTCTCTTCTGACAATAAAATAACCCTTCTTGATTTCGTTGGGCTAATTCACAATTTTTTTCTCTGTGTAAACTGTTTTACAAGCAATTTTTTAAAAAGCCTCTCAAAGCACAGTTGAACTCTGCACACAGAATTGAAACATTTCATTTTCTCTAAAGGAGCAGTCCCCCAATAGGTTCCCCTTGGCTGGAATCACCAAGGTTGAGTTTTCTGCAAACCAGGCTTTGAGCTCGGGCTTTCTCAGTCTCCTCCAGCATTTCCTGGATGATGACTTGCAGGGCTTTTCCCAGCAGACTGGCGGGGAGCCAACGAGATAGTGGAGGGACGTGGACAAGCACCGCACACCCATTTCCATGATGCAAAGACAGGTAGTAGGTGTAATCGCAGACATATCTGCAACCACAGGAAACACCACATTACTCCTTGGACCAACCTCAAACCTCAATGAAATGTGAGCAGAACTCACAAAGAATGCAGCATCCTCAAAACATGAGGAGGCAGGACTTGCCCTGGGAGACTTAGGTTTTGTTGTTCTGCCTCAGAAAGAACATGTTGCTGGGAATGAGGTGGGGAGAGACTGGCTCTTGGCCTCGTGGTCCGCTAACCAGCAAGTGACCAAACCTGGGAAGGGACTAGATTTTCGACCTAGTCAAAACACCTTTGCCCCGAGAACCTGTCTCATCCACGTCTGCATTGAGTCATTCGTTCCTTTACTTTTTGGGGGCAGGAGAAACTACCTACTAGGGGGTGGGAAGGTCAGAGTTTGGGAAAACAAAGGTAAATTAATCTTTGGGGCTAAATCAGAATGCTTAACTCACAACTTTGGCTGCAATAAATAAAAATAAAAATAAAGCATCTATAAAATGTTAGTGGCTCTCAAAATACGCCTTTCCACGTCTTCTCTGTCAATGCTCCAAAGGCCGGGTTTGGAGAACGGGCCTTGGAACCGAGGCCGCAGTTGGCTGTGAGCAACGTGCTGGCCTGGAGGGGCTACAGGATGGCCTCCTGAAGGAAAACCGGGGGCATTCCAGAAGAAACAGTGACGCTGCAGCCATTCCTTCTCCCCTACCTGCTCAGTCAGCCGACACCCACAGAACATACCTGCCTGCATCCCGGGAAAACGCCACCTCCACGCCCTCCACAGCCACGCGCCTGCTGACCGTCTTCATGCTGACCCGCGAGGTGATCACTTCCGGGCCATGCGGAAGGCACACGCCGCGGTCGGGCCGGAAGCCCCGGATGTCGGCATCCCGGTAGCCGCGGTTCTTGCCGCACTGCTCCAGAACGATGGCCTTGGCCGTGGCGTCCAAGCCCACGTGTACCGCGAGCTGTGTAAACACACGTGAGATGAACAGGCTGAGAAAGAGGGAAACTGAGGTCTGCTCAGCTCCCCAGGTGTGGGAGAAGGGCCAAGCTGAGGGAGAGCTCGAGTGCCAATCATCTCACACCCCAGATCTGCCTTGCAGCCGTGATCCCGGCCTGCTCCCCTAACGAATGTGCTGGAACAAGAACAGCTGGACAGAGACCCATGTGGCATTTAATTCAAATACTTGTGTGTTTCAAAATATTCTCACAGGGTGGCATACTCCCTTTCTTTCCCTGGGGTCCAGCTGGTATTGAAGCTGGTATCTGGAGAAGCTTAGCATTGCAGTGCAATCTTCCATCTCTTTTATGAAACTCTA